ACCAAACTTTCAGCATAGGTAATTTAGATGTACAACGATATATCTTGTCAACTTCATTTATGGGCTGGTTCGTCGATTGGAGTGAGTACGGCTCGTTATGTGTGTAAAACTTCACCAAAAAGTGTCAACAATCAACAATCATAAATTCGTTTTATCTTTTCGAAAACGCAAATACGAAGAAAAATGTTTCAGTAGCATATGCCATGAGCGACTTTTCAAGAGGTAATCGGAGTTAAAACCAAAAAGAAATCAATGTTTTGTTAGGAGCTAGGAAATCTCTTGTATACCGTATTTTCTCTAATAGTAGTGCACCCTGAGCGTCGCCTAAATTCCTCGAAATCTCGAGAACCGCTTATCCGAACCTATCCATGTGGGGTCGGAAAATGTAGCCGACGATGAGATCTTGTGGGGGATTAGAGTGTCGAGCTTCTGGGAAAAATTGGAAACCGTAAAATAGTCATCAGCTCGGCTAGGCGCCGTGCACTACTATTAGATAAAATACGGTATTTGAGTATAGATCTACATATATCATACAATCGCGGACATTAACTTGACTTTGTAGATATTGTAGAGCTTTCCATATACCGTATTTTCTCTAATGTAGTGCACCCTGAGCGTCGCCTAAATTGCTCGCAATCTCGAGAACCGCTTATCCGAACCTATCCATGTGGGGTCGGAAAATGTAGTTGACGATGAGATCTAGTGGGGGATTAGAGTGTTGAGCTTCTGCAAAAGCTTGGAAACCGTAAGACTGTTCAAGTTAAAAGGAGTTAAAACCAAAAAGAAATCAATGCTTTGTTAGGAGCTAGGAAATCTCTTGTATACATTGTATTTGGCTTTACTTTGTTCTAATTGAAATTTCATTAAAAATATGAAATTAGGGAATTGAATAATTGGGCGTCGAGTTACAGTCAAAAAAATCGAGTTCCCCCAACGCCCTGTATTATAGAACTAGAGCTGCCTAGAAAAAAAAATGGTAATTCTAGCAGCAGGCTTCGTCATTAGCAAAGTCCAGCGATCTAAAAATTGTCTAACTTTCTGTAGGAGACCATACGAATTTATGGCTTTTGTGGCCAAATGGCTAGCCAAAGCCAGACCGATAGGGGCGGAACTTGGCTTTATGGCTACTAGAAACAACACAGTTAGCATTAACGTTATAAAGCGCATACAACCCATAAATTTGTGATAAAAGTTATAAAAACTTTAGGTCTATCGTCGTCGAGCCATCTGAATCTTTATATCTCTATTTATCGGATACAAAAAGGTGAACAGTATCTACGTGGATACATCGTTGAGAAATCAAAAAGATCAGACACCATAAAGGAATAAAAATTCGCCGATAATCAAAAAATTTTGAATGCATCTTTATTACATTTATAATATCAACTATTTACAAAAGAATTTCATTGCATGGTAGCTTAAAACATTCCTTTTGTTGGTTGCCTAAAACAGAGTTGTTTTAATCTTTGTATCAAATTATACCTTCTAGCCACTCGTACATGTGCGATTCCGAGGTCCTTCTCCATCACCGATCCCTTCTCGATTTCCATTTCTCTAGCTAGTGTTCTAAACATAGCTCTTTTTGTATTTGTAATGGCACTGTAAGAAAAAAAACTAAACTAAAAGTTTCTGTTTGGTTCGACTTACGATTTACGACTTACGAAACGTGTATTTTCAAATAGGAAGCTATAAAATAACGACAACCGTTGCCCCTACAACATTTTTATTCTTCATTCTCTCAACCAGAGTTTCTTTTTCTGTTTATAAACTTAAATTAGTCAATATAGTCAAAAATTTAATAGTCAATAAGTCCAATAAGTGCAAGTCCAAGTCAATTCATAGTTACTTTGGTACTTGTCGGTTATACGTCTATAGAGACTCAACTCGGTTAAGCAGGAAGCTGACAACTTGTTTATCTGATTATCTTCAGTGAAGTAGAGTGCTCGCCTGAAGTGATCAGTCGATCAGTCATTCATCAGAACGAAAAGTGATAACCGAGAAGACTAGCATGGGGATGCTTAGCCGAGATAAGTCTTTGTGGTTGTAGAACCGACAAGTACCGTTACTTTTAATTCTAGTCAGTCAATTTTAGTTACTTTTAGTAGTTACTTTTAATTCTAGTTACTTTTTAGTTGCTTTTAAGACATTCTGCGCGTAAAAACCTGCAATGGCTTCGAATTCATAGCAACGAACTGATAGAATTCTTAGCTATCAATAGTTTTTCGTAGTCTTTGAGAAAAACAAAAGTTACTTATGTAAAGTACTAAGAAGGATTTGCAAAATGCACAATATCATATCTATAATAAAAAACAGAACTTTAGCATTACCGTAAATCCTGTAATAGTACCCCACCGCCCTCGTACAGTCGCGTAGTCGCAAAAGTTTTTTAGTATTTCATTTTTTGCAAAGCACCCGTACTTTCAAAAAATGTGTCTTTGGTATCAAAAAATAGCCCTGAATTTCAGCTATTTTTTGATACCTAAGCACGCATTGTAGCATAAACCAGTGTCGAGAAAAACGCATCTAAAGTTAGACTACGCAACACTCCGCACCGCCATTATCGGGGTGGGGTACTATTACAGTATTTACGATAGTTAGGTATTGTCAAGAATCTTCGATCTCTGGTATAGATCTGCTTTATTAGCCTTTCATACAAAGAAAACTAGCAACCTTGATAGTCAATTGGTTTCTTTTTAGATTATCGATCTGGGGATCCCTGGATCGAACCTGATCCAAAAGAAACAAAGAGAGAATGTCAGAACTTTTGTGTCGAGAAAAACTCGTCCAAAGCTAGACTACGCAACCCTCCGCACCCTCATTATCGGGGTGGGGTACTATTTACAGTATTTACGGTAAGTTTACCTGGCAAAGATCACCGAAACGAACAAACAAATCCACAAAAATGTAAAGAATCGCATTTTGAAAATTTGCTTTTGGAAAAGTTTGTTTAGATCATTTATATAACAATTTATATGAGACGGCATTTGAACAAAACATTTCTATTTTTTGAAATCGAAAAACAAATCTTGCAGTCTCCGAAATCATCTTTTTCCTTGATCTCTAAAAAAGAAAAGAACCTATCTGATAAATATTTATTGTTGACGGTTTTGATTGTGGAAATCTCTAAAAGGGCATTTCCATTTTTTTAGAAGTCTTTTACAAAAAGATTTTGTTATATTATATAAAAATAAGTCTGTAGATGAATTGTTTTGATTTTATCAATCTTTTGGACATTTTTTTTTGGAGTAAAATGGATTTCCACAATATTGAACTACTAAATTACTAATACTAATACTAACAAATAAATATTTAACTACTTAACTCTAAAACTTTACAATCAATCTTTTACTTTTCATAACCAAATATCTCAAAAAACAGTTGGCGTCCTCTCTTCAAAAAAATCCCCATATTTTTGAGATATTTGGATAGGGTTGGAATTGAATTTAGATTCTAAAAAAACTATTCTAAATCTCCGGATTCTTTTTCTTCTTTCTTTCTTCTTTCTTTCTTTCTTTCTTTTTCTTTTTCTTCTTTCTTTCTTTTTCTTCAACCTAATACAACTCAACAATCTTTTTCCTTAACAATGAATTGGACAAAGTGAAATTTTCTCCTTTGATAATCAATTTTAAAGTTGTTTCGAACAGTTTGTTCAACCCTACCTTTAGACTATTGTTTGTTTAAGTAAAATTTTCATTTTACCCTAAAATCTTGAAATCTGGCCTTTTTGGGCGAAAAATTCTGGCATCTGGCCTGGGTTGGGTTGGTTTTTTTGGGTTTCGTCTGCAACCCTGGCGTTGTCTGCCCAGAAGTCAGATCTTCCAATTGTCGTGCCTCAGAAATGTCTATATATAGAGTGTGTTGCTCGCGGTTAAACAATTAAGCGAATGAATTTGCATAATTGTTTTTTTAGTCGGTTAATGGTCGGTTAAAGCAACGGTTAAACAAATTGATTTATGCAAATTTTTTCGAATACATATTTCTTGAGAATTCTTATACTTCCAAAATAACAAAATATTAAACGTAGTGAACAAAAATATTGGTCTATCGATGTTCCTAAAAGTGTTTCTAAAAGTTTTGCAAAAGAAAGCAAAAAGTTTTTCGCAAGCGGATTCGCACCTGGGCCAAAAGCGAAAAGCTCGGATTAAGAACTCGCGCACTGACCACTGCACTATATAGCTATGCTTGGGGTGAGGGGAAAGAGCCTATATAGTCCCGAGCTTTGATTTTGCAAGTAGATGCTGCAACTTTACACGCTTATTTCTCGAAAACTAGGAAGCCTCAAGAAAAACTAAAAACGCCATCGTGATCCCCAATATCGGCTTGTGTTTGCATATTTTTTAAAAGTCAAAATGTCACCATCACTTCTGATCATTTCCTTGTTAATTCTTTATCTAATAACGTTTATTTTTAGATTAACTCTGCACTACGAGCAACAGAAATCAGTAGCAACATGTGGAACAATATCAAATGAACAGTTTTTTTTCTATAAAGTTTCAAACTTTAAAAAAATTACTGGATTTAATTGCTTTTTGAGAAAAGAAGAAAGAAACGTAATTGCTAAAAAGGAAGAAATCGAACTTGGGCGTTTAAGACAAAATTTGATGTAAATTTGACGTAAATTTGGCGCAAAGTAATCACCCGCATAAGGAGATCGAGCGGGTCAGTCCAAAGTTGCAATGTTGTTGTTGTTCAGCCAGTCTCGGGTGTCTCCGGCTCGATAGCCACCCGCAGTCACCCGCATAAATTTAAACAAAGCTTTTCGAATTAAAATTTACGTCGCGTTTACAGTGGATTTTTTTGATCGCGCGCTTTAGGAAACGCATTAACCGAGAGGAAAACACTCTATCTAAATTCGAGCTTTCCCATAAAAGCTATTTTACAAAAACAAATCCCGAAAGAGTCTTTTGTGATAGAGATCCGTAAACTATTTCAAATTTCAAAAAGACATCAAAACTTTTGAGAAATTTTTGTTTTGTGCGATTGATCGATAAATTTCTTTATTGTTTTTTCGTTGTTTGACTCGTCGAGGGTTTCTTGCAAACAAAACGAGCACTGAGTCGCTCATCGCCAATCCATTCTTTCGAGTCACAATAATCGTCGTTGACAATCTGAAAATTTCAATGTCTAACATGCATCGGATTTTACGGAATTGTACAAGGCTAAACAGCTTCTTAAAGAGGACACTGTCCTCTTTAAGGTTTAAAGTTACGATTAAGAAATACGAGGATTCTCAAAACTAGCAAATAATTGCAAAGTTTGTTGAAACTTTTTGGCACAAGTTCATTGATAGTATCTAAGATTTAGACTAGCTTTTGATTTTAAAAATACAAAACTTGAATTAGGAGAGCTGGCTGCATTTTTGAGAACAGTTCTGCTAATTTTCCTTATTCAATATGCAAAGTAAGGAAAGGATTTGGGTGACTTTCGATCTTTTATTTTGACTCACCGCAAAATGCCAGTAGGAGCCACGCGAAGTGGCGAAAGGAGTCCAATCGACTGGCGTCCCGTCAGTCCAACTCCCACTCCCGACCAAGCCATTCCCATAAAGACCGATCTTCGCGTACAGATAGCCGCAGGGATTGTGATCGGGAGCTGCCGACGACTCATTTTTTACATTCGAGTGCACGAGATCTGCAAAGATTTCATTTGATCGATTCTTTGTGGCTAAAAGGCTAGATTTGATTTTAAACGCAGATTTTTAGCGATCAAGACCAAGACCAAGCGAACAAGACCAATACCAAGCGACCAATACCAAGCGATCAAGACCAAGACCAAATTTCTTGCGAATCGAAATTTCTCTATAAAAACACTTAGAAAAACGTTGTGAATCAGAAACCAACTAGAGGCTTTTCTATCAAAAAAACGATGCACTTTTTGTCTAGTTTCCCCCAGCATACCCAACACAAAGTTGTTCTCCTCTTCCGAGTGAATCGATACCAAATGTGCGTCCATTTTCTTGCAGTTCGCCTCGGCTATCGTCACATTGTACATGTCCCAGTGGAGCGAGTCCGAGTAGGAAAAACCCTGAAAGTGATCATGACACTTGAGCCTTTGCTAGCTTTAAAATGAGTCATAGCAAGAGTTGATCCAGTATAAAGCCTCGAGTAAAAACGACAATCGCATTATCTCTGTTTCAAATATCAAAAAATGACAAACTTGAAGAAAATAGCAGAAATTGGTGCGATTGTTGTACACCCATCCATCGGCACATTTTTGCTGGGGCGCTGAAGGAGAATTTGGATATTGGATTGGCCACAAGACCCCTGTTGACTGTCAGCGCTAACCAAATCAATTCAAAGCCCAGGTTTTCTAGAAGCTCGCAAGAACTAATTCTGATAGTTTCCAAGCTATGAAGCATAAAAAGCCACAGAGGGCCTTTGATTTGGTTATCAGACTGTCAGCGCAGCTCTGATAACCAAATCTATTCAAAGCCCAGGTTTTCCAGAAACTCGCAAGAACTAATTCTGATAGTTCCCAAGCTATTAAGCATAAAAACCACAGAGGTCCTTTGATTTGGTTATCAGACTGTCAGCGCAGCTCTGATAACCAAATCAATTCAAAGCCCAGGTTTTCTAGAAGCTCGCAAGAACTAATTCTGATAGTTTCCAAGCTATTAAGCATAAAAACCACAGAGGTCTCACGAACGTTTTTCGTTGCCGACAGTGCAAATGAACGGTTGGCCTGTCGAACAATCGGTCGTCATCCACTTCCCACTTCCCCCATCCATCAACACACATTGACTCGTGTTGTTTTTTAGTTTTGGCTCTCCTGAAATGACCAAAAGTTTCTTTTTCGTTTCACAATCGAAAACAACTGTACGTTTCATTGTTTATCTAGTGAGTAACGTCAAAAAATTCCGAAAAACACTTTTCTAGGGTCAATTTTTTTGCGCTCTTTTCAAAAAACACAGTCTAAAATTGATTCGAAGGATCTATAATAGATAAAAATCGCTCTGAAAAGCACACAAATCTTTACCTCTGATTCAAGCCATTAAAAATCGTCTCAAATTTCCGCATTCTTAAAAGTCTAACAGTCTTGTAGAGCTAAAAAAGAGCTTTCAGAATCTCCATGGCAAATGCTTGTACGATGACTAGATTAAAATGGTACAAGCCTTCAAAGAAGGAACACTTTTTTGGAGGGAATATAATTTTGACCGGTACTGTATCTATCTATTGCACAAGGAACCGCTGAGTTTTTTGCTCTGAGAAAGTTGGAACTAGGGAGATCTAAAACTCGTGCGCCGCTCGAACCCGCGACCTTTCGCTTACGGGGCAAACGTGCTAACCATTGCACCAGAACGCACCCGATCTCCTTTGCTTCAGAGGGAGTTAACTTCCCTCCTCTCTGGACAAGACAGTTCCACACGTCTCGATTTATAGGCCTGGGGTGTGCTCGAAACTAGGTATGAAGACCTTAGCCACCATTGCAGAGCCGGTTGGAACTGGGGTAGACCAAAAACTAGTGCTCCGCTGGGACTCGAACCGGCGACGTTTCACTTGCCGGGCAACTATGCTAACCATTACACCACAACGCACTTGATCTCCATTACTCCAAAGGGAGTTAACTTCCCTCCTCTCTGAACAAGACGGTTCCACACGTCTCGATTTATAGGCCTGGGGTGCGCTCGAAACTAGGTATACCTTAGCCAGCATTGCAGAGCCAGTTGGAACTAGGGTAGATCAAAAACTTGTGCGCCGCTAGGACTCGAACCTGCGACCTTTCGCTTACTGGGAAACCGTGCTAACCATTAGCCCACAACGTACTCGTCCTTCCTTACTCCTGAGGGAGTTAATGAGTTTTTTGAAGAGAGTCTGAAAGACGATCGTTATCGCTACCTTTTGTATCCATGTAGTCTTTGCTCTTAAAATTTTTTCAAATGTTTAATGGAGGAACTCAGCTTGATTTTCTTTATATTATTAGCTGTATTAGTACACATTAATATGATTTAAAAACGTTGTTTTCTTGGGCACAAATGCTTTAATTTGCACACACGAAAATGCAACCAAAATCTGCGCCTAGATCTTAGATTTTACTAATCGTAGACCCCTTTTTGTTGACCAACCGTCAGCCCAGTTCTGATAACTCAACGGGGTCCCATCGGCGTATGTCCAGGTGCCGTTGATCAGTTTCTCGACTCCGATGAACGAGCTTTTCTGCGCTAAACTCACATTTGTTTCAAAGCTTTTCCATTAAATTTCCTACATTCGATTTTGATTTGTTATTTGCAGAAGAGTCATTAAAATATACACTACTGGACAATGAAATATCATATTTGAAAAACGATCGTCACTTTCGCGCGTCTGTAACTCCCTTGTCTTTACCGTATTTCTAAATATTAGTATTACCATTGTGTAGCCCTTGAAAAGAGCTTTCAGAAAATGTATAACACTAATAGTTTAAACTCAAAGACAAGGGAATTACAGACGCGCGAGAGTGACGATCTTTTTTTCAAATATGATATTTCATTGTCCAGTACTGTAGCTCTCAAAGTTGCTGGCGGTAAGGTTCCAGTTTCAAAATTCTTCAAACACTCACAGAGTCCACAAAGATCTTCTCGCCTAGTGTCTTTTTTGATTGAATACTCACTTAGCGATGAAACGAGGGCATAGATGAAGCTATTCTCGTAGATGTTCACGACTTTTGCCGGAATCCCGCCCACCGTCGCGCACTTGTGAATGACGTCATAGTAGAAATCGGCTAAAGTTGACTGCTAATATTTTTTAAGTCGATCTAAAACTGTTGTCACGAAAAGACTTGAAACAACATAAAAAAATCGAAAATTGGCCCCTTCAACTATGCCCTTAAAGTTTAGCATTTCATAGCTAATGGCACAGTGGGTAGTTTGCACATCTGCGGAATGGTTAGAGGTTTTTGCCCGGGTTCAAGTTCGCTCCCTATAGATCCTTTTTTTTTTTTTGTAAATAGAGGGCTAGTGGCCCAGTAGATAGTGTGCTAGCATCCAGAACGGTTCGAAAAAAAATTTTTCTGGATTTGAGCTCGCTCCCGCTATTCTTCCATTCCGCGCATTGAATTCCACTATTTTCGAATAAGCAGTCCGTGAAATCGTGAGCAATGTTTTAGCAATAACAAACAACATTTATGAACAAAACGCTTATGTTCCTAAATCATTTTCTAAACGTTCTACCGTTAATCAAAGTCAAAATCAATCAATCGTAATGCCATAAACATTTTCTAATCATTTTTTTAAAAAAACAAAAGTAATATACCGAAAGCGAACTCGAACCCGGGCAAAAGAATCACGGACGGTTCTGAAAGCTAGCACACTACCTACTGCGCCACCATGGTAGCGGTGTAGGGCTGGTGCACCAGCTCTCTCTTTAAGGAAGAGAGAAAAAGCTTGTAACGATTTCGAAAATCGGACTAAACTTTGATGCCAGATATCTTGCGCTACAGACCTCCTTTCGAAAAAGTAAAAGCAGATTCAGAATCAGCATAGCCGATTTTATAAAACCCCGTGGCTCTCTTATTAAAAAGCCACCTTGATCTGGTGCCTTTCTCTAATGTAAAAAAGGTATGATTGCACAGGCTTTTCTTATAAAAATTTTTCATTATAAACCAAAAAAACACAAAACCGACCGTCGGGGAACAAATAGACGCAGACGTTCTCGTTCGGTACTCCGTAACCCCCATTGGGACATTGAGTAAAGACAGCGCTCGTCACGAGCGAAAGGAGCAAAAAGTGACGCCAAAACGAGGCCATTTCGAGTGATTCGTGTGGCTAATCGGACCCTTTCTTCTCCACTCACTTATCATCTTTTTGTTGTGTTGTCAAGCGACAAAAAAGAAAAAGCAAGAGCTGTATGTATCTTGGTTCATTGAACGAATGAAGGGCTGAGCCTGGCTACATCAGTTTTTTCGAAGAGTGAGAATTTGTTTAAAAATGGACAATCAAACTGGGTTTGAAACACATTTTGTCTTGAAAATGCTATAATAAGGAACTCCTCCATTGTATTTCGATTGATCGAGTCAAGAAAATTGATCGAGTCAGATTCAGAGCCTCATTTCCAATCGATTTCACATCAACGTTAATGTTCAGTGAAATTACGGTAATTTCATTCTTCCACACTACCCAAAAAAGTTCAACAGCTACAGCTATTCCAACTGACAAGTGATTGAGGATATCGAAGGCGTATTTTTTTGAGCTAAGCGTCGCCGAGATTGAATCACGCGAAGAGAGTCGTCACATAAAATTAATTTTTGAAAAATTTCTACTCACCAGTGCATAGAACTTGCAGAATGCTATCTAAAGACAAAAAGAAATTTTGAAAACGTCAATTTTAAGGTGTTTCCACTGCATACCTATCAACGAACGGTCATTTTGATTCACTAGAAACAAGTTCTATTTGAGTTTTGTATCTTGGGATTTCGCAGCTTTTAAACACAAATAAAAATAAAGGAAGAAGATTAACATGTAAAAATTGATTGATTAACATATAAGATTAACAAGTGTACGTAGCGCAAATCTTTTCCTCTATCTACCGAAAATCAAGTAATTGAATTTTCGAAAAGATCTCAACTCATGGATCGACAAAAAATTCGATTCACGATTTGATTTACGGCGATCACAAACATCAAGTCAACCCTTGTCCTTTTTGGTAATTTTATTTGATTAGTTTCATAGTAACGAAAGAAGTCACGAATTATGATTACGAAATGTTCCTTTTGTTAAATGCAAGAATGCAAAACTTTATACAACTTGTACAAATGAGATTTAAAGAATAGTAAAATAGTACATCTTACTACACAAGCTTAAAAGCTCAACAATTGCAGAAAGCAAACTTCGGATTATTGGCTTGGAGGATCTGTCCGCCCATTGGCGAAATCTTGGCCTCTCCACTAGAGCAGCAAGCTTGCTACTTGAGTCATGGGCTCGTACAAATGTACAAATGTACAAATGTACAAATGAGGTTTAAAGAATAGTAAAATAGTACATTTTCTAAAAGCGTAACTTGTCTTTGATCTTCATTCTTTCTATTACAAAAACTTTTATAGTCTTCTTAAATCAGTTAATTTGTATCTATTTTATTTGTTTATGATAGTTTTTGAAATTTGATTTGTTTTAGAAGACATCTTTTTGAAGGGAACAAAATCAAAGGTTTGATGTGCGTTTCATCGGTACGCTTGCATTTACGCTCACCTAAAACTTTAGATCACAAGGATTACTGTAATTAAGTTGTAAAACTAAACTGTTAACTTACCACTGAAGAATTGGAGTCATCGCTTTTTGAATCTCTAGCAGGGATAAGTAGCCGTCTGATATTTGCGTTTGTGGCCAATAAGCACCATGGTTGAATTGTACAAGTAAGATCCAAATAATAGTAACTGAAAAGCAAAATATTCATATCTATTTATGCTAAACTTACGCCACTTCAGAAACAGTTGCAATAGCACTAGTGTCTTTGAGAATCACAACCAATGTGACCTAAAAGTTTAGGCTCTTTCCCTGAATCGTGGTCTTTTGAAAGTTTTGAAAGTTGAAAGAAAGAATATATGTTTAGGAGAGCGATAGAGATGGTCAACTCATTCAACATTTGTTGGTTCACATGGAGGCTGTTTATTCCCTTCCCTAAGCTTGTTCTTTAAATTCTGATCAAACTGGTGCATGTGGAACGTAATAAAATATGTTAAAACAATTTCAAAAGATTTTTTGGTCAAAATTGCAAAAGACCACGAAACGGACTTTTTTTGAGAAAAGACAACAAAACTTTCAAGACCACGAAACTTTTAAAAGACCACGATTCAGGGAAAGAGCCTCGTGATCTGATACCCGTTCTCACATGGATTAGTAGTCGAATCAGTTCTAAAAACATTGGCAGTGCTTGGAAGATTGAAGAGATGAGTAGTCGGTGCTCGACTTGCGAGACTTTTTCACTCTGAAATGGGTCCTTTGAGACCGAATAGGCTTCGATTGACGATTTAGATCTGTACAGCGGGAAGGATCGGGTTGATTCATTACGAATTCACCCGATCTAACCCAAAAGATCAACGTATGAGTTGATCCAATAGACCCGAAAAACTAAAACCCGAAACAGATCTAGAGCAGACCTTTGAGCTGAGCACGAGTGAATAACCGAAACCAATAGCACAGACAACAGTTGAGCAGATCACAAACACCATTGTTTCAATGAGACTCATCTAGAAACGAATGTTTGTTTCCATTTTTGAAAACTTTTGTACCATGAGTGCCTGGGAATTTGCCAGCATTAGAATTTGAGAACGCATTGGTGTATTCGTTGCTCGTCCCGTTATGATAAAAAACGGAATATTGATCATTAATGGAACGCTCCATTGAATGCAAAAACAGCAAAACACAAGTTTCTTTGTCCAAATCTATAATTTTAAGTGAAAAAGCTACTTATTTTACTAGCTTGCTCATATCGAGTTGGCTTTAGATATAGAGTCAATCGATTTAAAGCAAATGGGATATATCCCAAATAGAGTACAGCTCGAAATGTTAAAAACATTGAGTAGGCAATTCTAAAGCTGAGATTTCTTTCAAAGTCGATTACTTTCTATTACTTGAGTTTAAAAATCAATAAATTACAATTGAAATGCTCTTTTTCAATCTCTAGTTTCAACTCACGTTCCCCCAATTTCCCCAGTGAACCACAATATGTAATAACGTGGAAATCTTAGCCCAAATTGCATAAAGAGGAAAAATATCGCATCATTGATGAACTAAATCTTATTAAGTTTATTAGCTTAAAATCTTATAGATCAAAAGAGTTTTTAAACTCACTTGCGACGTTTTTCCAAGGAAATTCTGGGGTGGCGCTTTAAGGTGTGGTAAAACTACCGTACCCCTCCTAAAAAAGACAGCGCGAAATTTCATTTTTTTCATTTTTGTTCATTTCATTTTATTCTTTTTGCGTTTTTCTATGTGGTTGCGTTTGTTTTTGCAGGAAACAAAGAGGAGAAAGCTAAGTTACGTTTTTAACAGCATTTTCTGTGGCAAAAGCTTTGTGGTTTTTTAGATCCATTTGCTTTCCGACGATCTACTCCACGAACTTGATGCCAACTAATGTTAAGTTAAGTGGTTTTTATCATTTTCTATAGCGGAAGCTTTGTAGTTTTTTAGATCCATTTGCTTCTCGACGATCTACTCCACGAAATTAGTCCCAAATAATGTTAAGTTAAGTGGGTTTTATCATTTTCTATCGCGGAAGCTTTGTTTTTGGGACTTTTTAGTTTGCCCAAATTACTGTACGGTATTTTTATCACGCTTTAAATCACCAACCCAGAATTTTCTCGGAAAAAGGTCGCAAGTTGAACTCCCAACAAACCTCGACAAAAACCAAATCAAAGAAAACTGATGTAAATTTTTTGCTCTTCCATCGTTTCATGGAAATTTTAAAGATCAAAATGAGATATAAAGCCATTGATGGATAGGAGAATGCACAAACAACATATTGACCCCATGGCATTGTCCAACTTGGAGGATTGATGGAGGAAAATGAAGACGAAGTTGAGCTTGACATTTTTGCTCTTGTTAGACCAATCAATTTTTACTCAAAGCTTTTCCAAACCTGAACAATCAAGTTTTCAATTAATTCAATTTCAAAAGGAAAACGATACCCACGTAGTATCAAAATGAATCAAATTCAATTTACGGCAATGCACTCACCCATTCTTCTCAAAAAACAAAACCAGAAATTGCATTGAGCGCTGATTCTCGACTTACAGTGGAAAAGGAAGTCAAATTTTATGTTTGAGTGTGTTATGAGTTCAGGTTTGAGCTGTACCTTGTCTACTTGATCAATTTGAATCTCTTTAGCTAACCATACTTGAAAACCATTCACTTTATTTACTAAAAATAGGTTACTCACAAAGGTTTATTTACAGGATTTTAAAAACAAAACAATTTGCTTAATGTTAACACAATCACGAGGTTTTCTTGATTTTTGCGTAAATTATTTCTCTTCCAGCTCGTCTAAAAACGTTCACAGGCAGCCGATTTATCTAAGTTTGAGATCAAAATGAAGAGAAATGTTTGAGGATTCGTTATCTGGATACTGTTTGAAAAAATATTGACTTTAATGTTAGTTAGGAACTTTTAAATGCAAATTAATTCCCGGGTCACCGGTCGCCGGTAATTTCTCACACTAAAGTATTCTGAACTTTCTTCAAACTCGATATTTCTTTAATTTGGTCTCAGATAAATGATCGGTGAAGATTTCGCTTTATTTTGATGCTATATTTGAGCAAATCGATTGCCTGTGAACTTTTCTAGACGAGCTAGAAGGGAAAAAACGTCGTGAATGTGTTAAGTACTTAAATATTGCTTTCATTCATTCAAAGGTCGCATTTCTGATTCTTATTTGTATTTCTAATGCCACCAATCAATGACTTGCTAATAATAAGTCTTAAAATTCGCGTTCAAAAGCATATTTTTGTGCAAAAGATTGAGAAATCATTTGCCTTTTATATTTCAAGAACAAGGAAGTTTTGTGAGAGATTAAAAACGAATTGTTAAACCTCAGAGGATAGATTTTTATTTGAAACTTCTTTTCGAGATCAAAAAACAAAAATCAGCTTAAATTCGACTGACCCAAGGGACTCGTAACAAGTTTCGATTTGATTTTTTTGAAAGAAGAACATCCCAACAATAAGAACACCTCTTGACGCATTGATTTGTTCACACCCAAATAGAAAATTGCCATACTTCCTGTAATTTGTTGTTGACTGATTAAATATTCTAAAAAAAACCATTTGAGATGATCCAAAAAACATTTGCCACAGTGACCATAAAAAGAGGCATTTCAACGAATTGTAGCAAAACATACAGCCACGCACAAAGCATTACCGTCATACTGATCCCAAGGCATTGAATCATTATCTAATAATATTTAGTAGATTTTAGTAGATTCTAGACTTAAAGACTTCTAGAATATGATCTAAAGCAACTTATATTTCAATTTCAATCCACTCTTGCTAATTTGAACTCTTGAAACACTTGCTCAGGCTATTCAAACATTTGCAAACACTAGCTTAAACCTTTTCCCTTACCACTTTTTGCAAATTCGACATCATATTGAGATTTCTAATATACATGGCTCGTATCATCAACAAATTCAATAACATCATAACACCAGCAACACCAGCATCACTTATTGGATAGAAAAGTGGAGTCTAAAACCCTAATCAGTTTTTGAGAGTTTCTTTTACCTGCGCCTTTTCCGGATCAGCTCCAAAATAATAACTTCCTGTTTTTGGGTAGTAAAGCATTGAAGGAAATTGACAATAAAGAAATAAGCCATATAAAATCGGGAGTCCAGTCCATAAAATGATCATTTTCCCACCAAATAGAGTCTGTAATTCGAGGATTATACGGAAAAGATTCTCCCAACCTCTTGTAATTTGGGCCATGTAAAATCGACGAGTCGATTGGTCACCAGTGAGATGTTTAAACCGACATAGGCTGCCCAAGCGGCTAAAAGAAGCTACCGTAATACCTGTACAGTCGCGTAGCGTAAAATTTTTAGTAACTCATTTTTTTCTAAGCTCATATTTTCTAAAAATGCATTTTTGATATCAAAAAATAGCCCTGAATTTCAGCTTTCATTTGATACTTAAGCGCACACTGTAGCATAAACTTGTGCCGAGAAAGATGCGTTTAAAGTTAGGCTACTCAAAGCTCCCACCGTCATTATTGGAGGCGCTACTATTACAGGTATTACGGTATTAGACTTTCTCTGTTTTTATTTGTCTGATCTCTTTCTATCACTCACGAAAGCATAACGCTCCAAGATAAAGATTCAGTAAAGGACTTTGACAATAAGATTGAGCTGTAATCAACCAGTAGCCTAAAATTCTTATTATTATGAAATTTGGCTTTGGAAAGCACCTTGGAAAGCTTTGGAAAGCCCTTTGGAAAGCTTTGGAAAGCTTTGGAAAGCACTTTGGAAAGCACTTTGGAAAGCTTTGAAAAGCTTTAGAAAGCCCTTTGGAAAGCTTTGGAAAGCACTTTGGAAAGCTTCGGAAAGCACTTTGGAAAGCTTCAGAAAGCACTTTGGAAAGCACAAAATACCTGGTAAAATCGAGTTTGGAATCATACTCAAAATATCAAAACAACCAATTACAAATCTAAAGCTTTTCTTGCAAGACTTTTAATAAAAAACTTACAAAATTCGGTAAACATTCATGCTTAGAAACTTTTGTTGACACATCGCAATCATACAAAAAATATAGAGAAATTCAAATATCAAGCCGCATATTAAATAGATAAAACCTGAGATTTTATAGACTCTTACAGTTAACAACGTTTCAATTTTGTACTTCAATTTTGTAATCCTGGATCTGGTCCACTTCTTAGAGTATTAAGTGCATTAGAAATTTTATGTTTCTGTTAAACTTTTGAGCACAAAGTACACCTTTAAACTTATCCGTTTCAAGCGTTATCAGCGATGGATTTGAACGGCATTGATCTGCGTAAATAGCAAGCATTCCAGGGTGTAAGAACTCGTAAAACTAGAGTAATGAAATTTTAAAATAATAAATTGTCTCGGGAATAGTATTCTGGTCCACTTCTTAGTCCACTTCTTAGTCCACTCAAAACACTTGAGCCAATATGAATAGAATACCAATATGCTAGTAAGATTCTCTAAAAAATTGATCATTTTCACAAAAAATGATCAAGATCTTTTGACCTATTGAAGCAAGAAGTTGACCAGAATTGTATGAATTGTACGAAATATTTCAATTTTACAATCTTTTCTTACCTGAAAGAGAGTTCCATTCATTGAAGCTGTTCACTGATATTAAAGGAAAAGTTTCGATTAAAATTTCCGTCAACTGAGCCGAGTATTCAACCTTTAATTATAAAAAGAGTCAAATCTCTTGAGAATTTGTAATTCTCTGTGTTTTTGTTTGAGTAATTGGGAAATGTTCAATAATTTAACTTCAAAATCAACTCTGTTCACGTTATGTTGGAGGATATAACTTTATCTGGTCTATCTGATTTTTTGATTGAAAGCTCAATGATAATGTAGCCAGACACAAGCAGACATGGCTGTCTGTTTGTGTCTGGCTGTTCTTTGGGAGAAATTACCTTAGGATAAGCCCGAGTGAGTGATGCGGTGAGAAAAGGCTCTTTTATTGGGTTGGTGAATTGAAAACTGCCGGACTTTGAACTAAAATTTATTCAACATAAAACCATCAATTCATTTCAAATAACTTCCATTATCATTGCCGACTTCTGCCCATTTTATAGGCAATTTGCGGATTCCTCTTTCGTAGTAGGATTTTGGTTTGTGTGTGAGACAAGTGTGAGACTCAAGAATGGAGGACTGGAGATGTCCCAGTTTGAGCACTTTTTTCAAATGAAACCCATTTTGGTGTCAATAGAAAAGTTGTAGAGAATCAAAAATCAGGCTTATATCCAAATTTCCAAAAAGATACACTTGGTAGTTTCGCTTAAAATGCAAGTTTTGGTGAAAAATCGTAAATTTGGCATTTCTTCAAAACCAGTTTTTGAATCGTTCTGAAAATTTGGATATAAGCTTGATTTTTGATTCTCTACAACTTTTCCATTGACACCAAAATGGGTTTCTTTTGAAGAAAGTGCTCAAATTCTGACATATGAGAATAGCCCGCAGTTTTCAGTTCAGCAACCCAATATATTTAGATGAAATCCTTTGAAGATTACTGTAAGCTTGTCTATAGTTAGTCTGTTATCCTAACAAGCTGACAAAATTACGATAGTTTTCCAAAGTTACTGTAACTTCTTTGACTCAAGCTCTTGTGTTTATTTTCTTAATAGAAAAGAACCATTCACTTACACTAGTCAGTGAGAACATTAACATTTACTCATTTTTTTAAAATCAAACAGTACTGCCAGTACAAAGCTTTTGGATCATTATCAATCTTTCCTCATCAATATCAATCAACCCAATAAATTCTTGTGGGACCGGTGTGGTTCAATGGTAGATGTCTTGAAAACGCACAATAATAATAATACTTTATTCAAACGATAAAGTGAAAGAAATCATAGAGAAATGCACAGTGATACTTAATCATACAATACATACTGAAATCAATAAGCCAATTACTTACGGCAAAGAGCCACTAGATCTAAAGCATCGATACGTTTCTTGAATATGAAAAGCGACTGAATTTCTCGTATGTCGTTTGGGAGCAAGTTCCATAATCTAGCGGCTCTAACGGGAAATGAATTTGATAAAGAGGCATTGGAAGCAAAGGGAATTTGCAAAAGGAATGAGCCACTTCTGGGCCCTGACCGCGGTTTAAATTTGAAAAAGTCTATAAACAAAGGGCTAATCTGTTTACAACGGAGGATTTTGAAAGTTTCGACTAAATCAATGACAAAGCGACGATGCTGTAAAGTTTTTAGTTCAAAAAAAGCAAGTCTCTCCTCATAAGTAAAGCTAGAATATTTAGAATAGTTTTACAATTTATCAAAACTTTCCCTTCTTAGGGCAAACTTCGCTCAAACTGAAGCAACCTGGCACTATCACAATTACTTCAACACTTGTGTGAGAAAAAAGGGATGAATAGAAAAGGGAGCCCACAACTGACTCAAAACAAATAATGGACTTTTAAGTACACAAGCTACGACAAACGGACAACCAAATATCGTCTATACGCGGGTTACGGTAGTTTATCCATCAACTTTGAATTTTAACTTGTGTATTGAATTTTGACTAACTGCAGAGCAATAGCTATTCGCCACACATTACTTGAGAAGCAAAAAGTTCAATAACATTGATGAAATCGGAAAATGGATGGATGATTATTTCAACGAACAGCCACAATCATTTTTTTGGTTAGAAACATTTGAAAAAGTGAAAAAAGCATCAAAGTTAATGGAGAATGCTTCCATGGTTGAATATGTAACTGTCATTTTTGATAGTATAAGCTTGTTAGCCATTGAAAGATCTTTAAAACCTTTTTTTAACTACAGTACTGGACAATGAAATATCGTATTTGAAAAACGATCGTCACTTTTGCGCGCGCTGAAATGCGTCAAAAAATACGGTATTTCTAAATATTAATATTACTATTGTGTAGCCCTTGAAAAGAGCTTTCAGAAAATGTATAACACTAATAGTTTAAACTCAAAGAAAAGGGAGTTACAGACGCGCGAAAGTGACGATCGTTTTTCAAATATCATATTTCATTGTCCAGTACTGTAGATAATCTAACTAGAAATCAAGCTCATCTTGATATTTCATCGTTTCATCCTTACTCCCCAATATGGTGTTCGCGATTTCTTGTTCAAATTGTTGTGTAGACTATTTAGAAATGTTTTTATATTAAAATAAGCCAAATTACGTAGTTAAAAAGGTTTAAAAGATCTTTCAAAAGATTAAAAGATCAAAAGATTAAAAGAAAAAGGTTGAAAAGAAAAAGCCGATGGTTTTTGGATTATCATTTTAAGAGAAGATCTTTCGGTATACCGTATTTTCTCTAATAGTAGTGCACCCTGATCGTCGTCTAAATTACTTGAAATCTCGACAACCGCTTATTAGAACATATCGATGTGGGGTCGGAAAATGTAGCTGACGATGAGTTCTTGTGGGGATTTGAGTGTTGAGTTTCTGTGAGAACATTGGAAGCCGTAAAATAGTCATCAACTCGGCTCGGTGGGGAAATGCGGTAATCAGATACAAGACCGAACCGCCTTTTGTACCATTTCTACTAGGTCAAAAGGTTGATGGTTAAACCAGGTCAGCTCAAACTATAGATCTAGTCCCGATTTGGGAAATCTTGTATAGAAAAAAGCTAGCTCATTGTCAGTATTAGTCTCTTTCATTAGGGTATTCTTTTCGATTTTGTTAGCGGAATGTTCTAATGCTCAGATGTTATAATGAACTTATTAATAAACCAGTAAACTTGTCAAGACAATTCGAAAGAAGCTGACGATGAGATCTAGTGGGGGATTTGAGTGTTGAGCTTCTGCAAAAGCTTGGAAACCGTAAAATCGTGATCAATTCGGCTCGCCGGGGTGCACTACTATTAGAGAAAATACGGTATTATTTTAACATTATTTAACACTGATAATCTTGATTAAGTTAGAAGTTTTATTGACATGAATCTCGAGGTTTCAGAAGAACGATAAATGCAAAAGAAGAACGTTCGTGACATTCCTGACATTTATTAGAGTCGCATATGAGCTTTTTCTATCAAAAACTTCGATTTTTCAGTGCCAACTTTGCTTTTTGGTGTTTAAAAAGCACAAAATCCATAAAAACTGATCTACAGGATAAAATAGAGAAAAAAAACTTTAACCGTTTCAACAAATGACAACAATGACAACTTTAAAACGTGACATTTTTCCTTAATTGATTGATTTTGCGGTGCGACTTCACCAAGAGATGAAACTAAATGAATAAAGTTTTTGCTTGCTTAAAGCCATTTCACCTCTTTTTATGTCTCCTTCTCTGCAACAACTTGTGGTGTCCAATTGTGACATAAGCGTGCAACCTTGGCGCCTCTCCAATAAAAGCTCGTCCCTATATTTCTCTTTTTATCTACTAAAAAGAAATCTCTTATGACTTGATTGATTGTTTGAGGAACCCAACGTCCTCCATTGAATAATTGACTCTGAATTTTGTTTCTGACCCGACTCAAATGGGGATTTGTTTCGTCTTGATAGTGTTGCCAGATCTCGTCATTTTCAAAATCGGCTGGAAAATGATTGGTTAGTTTAAGTTTTATAGGAAATTTGCTTTTCAAAGTGTTCTTTGTGCTTAAAAATCGAAACACTCACTTTCTAGCAAATCAAGCAAATAAATCTAGCTTTGAATTTCTCTTTTAAGACTGTGTTTGAGTGAGAAAAATGGAATTGACTTTGACAGAAAGGTTTTTTTTTATATTCTCAAGATCTCAAGACAAAGAACACTTGTTTTTATAAGAGTTAAAAATTGCTTAAACTTTAACAATTCATAAATAATAATTAAATCTAATCAAATCATTTTCTCACGTGCTCCATTTGGGTGAATCTTATGCGTGAAAGCAAAAGAAGCTTCGAGATTTCGATCCAAAATATAACCCAACTCAATATCGTCATCATCGTCTCCAAAAGGTCTAAGAAGATCCAATCCAACCTAATAAATCAATTACATTTGTCTCATGGTTGATTGACTTTTAACCAGCCAACGTAAGTGATGAATTGAACCATTGTGAAGACTGGGATCACTAGATCGACGGTGCTTTTGTCGGTGAATTGACGCCCGATCAGAGCAAAACCAAAGTAGGAATAAGTTGCGAGAGCTGCAATCTAAATTACAAAAGAATATTCATCAGTTTCAATCTAAATCCTTCCTTAAGTATGAAATAAAAAGAGAAAAACCAGCCGTATGAGGATTTTCGAGCCGAAAATCCTTCTAAGGCTGGTTTTCCGGTTCGTGATTTAGGAACGACGCATAGTTGATTCCGGCAGAAAATTGGGAAGTTCCTTTTTGCTTAAAAGGTTATTTCTTTCATATTTAAGCTTTTGGTAAAAAAAGCAAAAAGCTCGACCGGAGACGGATTTGAACCCCTGACCTTAGGACTAGGCTCGAGCGAGCTAACCACCCGACCATTGCGCGCCTGATGAGTCCTCCTGGATATGGGCATAAGACAAAAGACACCAAAAACCGAACATAACTTTTTTTCTACTGAGTATTCTTTGAAAAGGTTTTCAAAAGGTACAACTCAGGGGATGCGTATTTCGGCCATTTCCTGAAAAACTCACTCCTGCAGCTCTGACGGACAGACTGGCATTTTGAAATTATATAGATTAGGTTTACATCGCTTATGACTTACATGCGTGTAAACTAACGGAATCGGTACCCAATCGTGACAGTAAAGATTCCGGACCGAGGCTCTTGTCTTTTGAAGCTCGGCTGAAACTTTTTAGTTTACTCATTTACCAAGATTTCCCTACACAAGAAAGTTCCAACAAGTGGTAGACGAGAATGGTTTGCCTCAACATAAGTGGACATGATCTCTTGAATCCAAGTGAGAGGGACCATCCAACGAGCTCCGGAGATGTTACCTTCCTGAATCAAGGTTCTTGACGTCGGTGGTATGTGGAATTTTACGCTATTCTGACTCTGATGGTAAAGATTCTGTTTGGCTGAAAACTGCAATGTTATAAGCTTTGTAAAATTTACATGTTCAAGTCGATTGAATTCTTTCTCTGTGAGCAGACCACCCTTGACGAGATTTCGAACCGAAGGGAAACGAATCCGAACTTGGCTTGAGATGTCTCGCCTGAACAAAGGTTGGAAAAAGGTTGGACAATTGATTGGACAATTGATTGGACAACTGATTGGGCAGTTGATTGGACAATTGGTTGGACAATTGGTTAGACAATTGGTTGGACAATTGGTTTGACAATTGGTTGGACAATTGGTTCGACAATTGGTTAGACAATTGATTGGACAATTGGTTGGACAATTGATTGGACAATTGGTTGGACAATTGATTGGACAATTGGTTGGACAATTGATTGAACAATTAGTTAGACAATTCAATATCTGAACAATTGGTTGGACAAGAATTGTTAAAGGTTGGACAATTGAATATCTGAACATCTAATCTTAGTGACTCACCACGCCAAAACATTAGCCACATTGAGATATCTCGTTATTTGATGCTTTATCCTTTTATGTGCTTCATCTCTTTCCACAATTATCATATAAACAACGGAAAGGAGATCTTCAGGCCAGGAAATTAATTGAAATTGTGTCCACCATCTTTGAATGATTTGAGTGACATAAAAACCGAGAATGAAAGTGATAGGAAGACGCTCAGAATAGGACTCAAAAATGGGCACAAGTTGTTCAAAGTAGTATCTAAATGTTAGTTATAGGAAAAGGTTGATAGCCTAGACATGTTTGGCTTTGGTTATTAGAATCTTAGGATCTTAGAATCTTAGAATCTTAGAATCTTAGAATATTAGAATCTTAGAATCTTAGAATATTAGAATCTTAGAATCTTAGAATCTTAGAATATTAGAATCTTAGAATCTTAGAATCTTAGAATATTAGAATCTTAGAATCTTAGAATCTTAGAATCTTAGAATCTTAGAATATTAGAATCTTAGAATCTTAGAATATTAGAATCTTAGAATCTTAGAATCTTAGAATATTAGAATCTTAGAATCTTAGAATCTTAGAATATTAGAATCTTAGAATCTTAGAATCTTAGAATCTTAGAATCTTAGAATATTAGAATCTTAGAATCTTAGAATATTAGGAATCTTAGAATCTTGGAATCTTAGAATATTAGAATCTTAGAATCTTGGAATATTAGAATCTTAGAATCTTAGAATCTTGGAATATTAGAATCTTAGAATCTTAGAATATTAGAATCTTAGAATCTTAGAATATTAGAATCTTAGAATCTTAGAATATTAGAATCTTAGAATCTTAGAATCTTAGAATATTAGAATCTTAGAATCTTAGAATATTAGAATCTTAGAATCTTAGAATCTTAGAATCTTAGAATATTAGAATCTTAGAATCTTAGAATATTAGAATCTTAGAATCTTAGGATCTTAGAATCTTAGAATCTTAGAATATTAGAATCTTAGAATATTAGAATATTAGAATCTTAGAATCTTAGAATCTTAGAATATTAGAATCTTAGAATCTTAGAATATTAGAATCTTAGAATCTTAGAATCTTAGAATATTAGAATCTTAGAATCTTAGAATATTAGAATCTTAGAATCTTAGAATCTTAGAATATTAGAATCTTAGAATCTTAGAATATTAGAATCTTAGAATCTTAGAATATTAGAATATTAGAATCTTAGAATCTTAGAATCTTAGAATATTAGAATCTTAGAATATTAGAATATTAGAATCTTAGAATCTTAGAAACATTAGAATAGTCAGCTAGGAGTAGTTTCTTATATTCTAACTTCAATTTGAGCTAAGTGTCTTGTCTAAAATGGTTTTCGTAACCAAATCTATAAACGAAAGGTGTTCTTTGTGTACTTCTGTACTTTGTGTTCTGTGTACTTTGTGTTGTACAAATAAAAACACACCCTTTCTAGCGCACTATTGATTCTCTTGTAAGACTAAAGCTAGGTTCATGTTTCACTGTTTAACCTCAAGATCTACATCGTAAAAACTCTAGCTTAAAGCTTATTCAACTTTTGACTCACTTCAATCCAAGCTCTTCTTTCGGATCTAAAAATGGGAACAATAAAAAATAACAAGCTCTCAACAGATAGTATAATATTAGAAATCCCAACATCTCTTTCCAAACAACTTTCCAGCAACTTGCTTTCCATTTAAAAAACAAAGTAACAATTGAATCCTCATAAGAAATTGTCATCGTATATTAGAGAATTTCGAATAAAATTTTATTCAAAAATCTATTACAGGTGCATTATTCAATCTGATTTCTTTAATTTTCTCTCCTTTTCACCTCAACCCCCATCCATAGCAACGATTACAAAAAAAAACGGGCACTCATAACGATATTTAGCAATTTTCTGGGAATTTTTCTTTTGTATCGTTACTTTTGAGAAAGTTTCATTGAAGAATGGAAAATTTCCTAAAAAATATCAAGTATTAGAAGGAGAAAAGGGTTTTTCAGCAAAGGAGCTAGAATTGAACTTGCGTATTTCTAGTTGTTAAAGGTTATTGTATCCAATAAACTTTACAGGATGCCAAAAATACAAGATCCTGTCAAATGTTGAGCAACAAGTGATGTTTGCGGATAATTTAAACTTAGGCAAGCTTAGGGTTTTTTCAGATTTTGATAATATCTACTAATCATATTGTCTCATGTGTCTTTGTACAAGTAAATCTTTGCCCCGTTTGCTGAATGAGTCACTTTTCCTCCAGAATACAATGATCCTTTTTCTTCAACTTGCATTGGGATTCCCAAAAAGTTTTAGCGACTCTTTTCACCGTCCATTCGAACGGATTCGGGTTAAAATCGAAATTCTGAGCAGATGAATTCGATTAGGGTTTTCCGTAAGTTTTTACGGTTCTTAAATTTGTGATTTCTTAAAAATCAGCGAACAGTTTGCTCTGAAATTTTTAGTGAAAACCGTATTTTCTCTAATAGTAGTGCACCCTGAGCATCGTCTAAATGCCTCGAAATCTCGAAAACCGCTTATCAGAACCTATCGGTGTGGGGTCGGAAAATGTAGCTGACGATGAGATCTTGCAGGGGATTAGAGTGTTGAGCTTCTGTAAGAACTTTGGAAGCCGTAAAATAGTCACCAACTCGGCTCAGCTGGGTGCACTACTGTTAGAGAGTATATGGGATTTGAGTATGGATCTCGAAAAGCGCTGATCAGAACCAAAATTTGCTGCACATATTATTGTAGCTTCTATCTGCAGCTTTCTCCGCTAAACAAAAGAAAGGAAAGATTTCTCTTCATTACTTCTGTGACCGTATTCGTCTCACAACTTTTCTTCATCTATGTGACAATCTGGCTGGGAGCAAAACTCGGGTACTTTTCTATATACCGTATTTTCTCTAATAGTAGTGCACCCTGAGCGTCGCCTAAATTGCTTGAAATCTCGAGAACCGCTTATCAGAACCTATCGATGTGGGGTCGGAAAATGTAGCTGACGATGAGCTCTTCTGGGGAATTTGAGTGTTGAGCTTCTGGGAAAAATTGGAAACCGTAAAATAGTCACCAACTCGGCTCGCCGGGGTGCACTACTATTAGAGAAAATACGGTAATATATAAGTATATGCTAACTAGTAGCCAAAATTTGATAATAATTTCTTGGTTTAGTGAGTCTCTAACGTTGTGTGTTTCACTCTTTGTGCTCAGCTCTATAAAAACACTAATGAAAAAGGATCCAGAAGTTTTTTGGGAGGATTGGTCCTAGCATCCGGATACAATTGAACTTAAATTAACTCTTTTGATTTCTCTTTTTTTAGTAAAAGTATGGAAATTTTCTTTCACATTAAACTCAAAACTCGCTCATTCTTATTCTTATTCTTATTATTATATAATTTCTTATTCCTATTATTATTATTATATAATTTCTTAGTTATGAAATTTGCTGAATAAAAATTTTTCCATTTCCTTAAAATCATCATTTTCTTAAGTCCCAAAAAATCGATAAAATCAAAGTTTATTCTTTAAAATGTTAGAATCAAATAATAAAATGGGAAATCGAATTTTCAGTACAAGAAAAACTCGTGAAGCTTTTGATGACAAAATTTGATTTAAAAAACTTTGAGCAATGATTAGAAAAATGAAAAAGAATGGCAAATGACGCAAATTTTTTTTGTGTGCTTTTGCTATAGACTATTGACCCGAAATCCTGCAGAAAACTAGATTTTAGTAAAAGTTTCGTTTAGTTTTGGTTTCAATAAAAGATTTCAATAAAAGTGTTAATTGTAAAATGACAAATTGCTTTTAAAAGGAATGCATCGAGAATTAGGACAAAAGAACAAAAGAAAAAGGGATCCAGGGAAAAGAAAGAAACGAATAAATACAGTTATAAATATTATTTTAAACTTTATCAATCTCAATCGGTACGCTCGAGTTGCCTCCATTTGTTCATAGCAAAATTCGCATTCGGAATTTTGATCGTTTCTTTTGGTTTCAATAAATCCGTCGGATCACCAGACACTCGCCTCTCCAACAATTCCTGAAAATATTGATAAGATTTTGTTTTATTTGTCTAATGGCTAGTTGAACTCATTTCTAAGTTAATATTAGTTACAGAAGTTAGTTAGAAGTCGACTTTTAGGGTCTTACTTTAATGTACACCTTGTACATAACTGATCGTATACCTTAGACCTGCTTCACGGGCCCGGGCAAAATTTTTAGACAGTCTGCTTCGCTCTTCGATTTCTTACTACCCAAAGCTCCTTCAAGCATGGAACCCAGTCCCCTCGCAAGCCATTATTCTAAGCTTCATTTTGATACTAAATATGGCTAGGTTCTATTTTACCATTCTTTAGATTTCGATCATTTTAGATTAAAATTTTTCTGGACTCGTTAAGCTTATCGAGTCCGATGAAAGATTGATTGAAATCTAAAGAATGGCAAAAGATAACCTAGCCATCTTTAGTATCAAAATGAAGCTTAGAATAAGGGTTTGCGGGGGTACTGGGTTCCATGCTTGAAGGAGCTGTGGGTAGTAAGAAATCGAAGAGCGAAGCAGACTGTCTAAAAATTTTGCCCGGACTCATTAAGCAGGTCTAATATACCATATACTTGTAAGTATTTTTATCTAAATATCTAGTGAAAAGTTGGAGTTAAGAATGGGTCAGTCAGTCAGCTTTGGTTTTTTTTAAAGTTATTATAAAGTGTTTATCTTTTATAGTTTAAGTTTTTCATGAAATGATAAAATTTTCGCAGTAATAGAAGCTTAATTCAATCGCAAAAAGACTATTTGGGAGTGGGACAAATGCGACCTTTTTTTTGCGCACCCGGACATTTGCGCACCTTTTTTTCCGCACCTTGCCCATTAGCGCACCTTTTTTCGCGTTTTAAAAAAGCTCTAAAAGCTAATATTAACCAATTTCTATTCCAAAAGTTGTTTTTTCTAGGTAATTTGAGGGTGTCGAATTCAAATTTAGACATAACAGAGCGCGTGGAAACAAACGGACGGAGTTATACAAAGAGAAAAATCGACAATTTTCTGTAATTTGATTTTCTGTAATGCTTTGTCTTTCAAATTGGTTCCACACGCTCTGATATGTCAAAATTTCGATTCTACGCCCTAAAATTACCTAGAAAAACAACATTTGAAATAGAAATTGATTAATATTAGCTTTTAGAGCTTTTTTTAAAACGTGAAAAAGGGCAATGGGCAAGGTGCGGAAAAAAAGGTGCGCAAATGTCCGGGTGCGCAAAAAAAGGTCGCATTTGTCCCACTCCCGACTATTTACAAAATTCTTTATATTAGATTTAACTTAATTAAAAAAGAATACCCAATCCTGATATGAATACTTGAAGTAAGAAGTAATCTTTAAATAATCTAGTAAACTTTAATAAGTTAGAAGTGTCAGGATTTAGAAATTATAGAATTAAGTTTACTATTCTCTTAAATTTCACTGGAAATCATTGAAGCCTCTGAAAATAGACTAGACTATCACAAATGAGTTCAACTAAGCAATTCATTTTTGATTTTACAATTAGTTATTAGTTGAATCATAACCAGTTAGTAGGCGAAATTAAATAGGTTTGACGATTCTTGTGTTTGAGAAACTACAAAATTTAAGATTATTGAAAAAGCAATTCATCAAATTTCACTATTTTTCATCATAACCAATTATTTTTCAGCTTTCAGAGAATTTCTCAAACATCTGATGTTTATTACGGGATTTGTATCCACATCATGACTTGTTTGATTACAAAAAATCATTTCAAAGAGATAACAATAGTAGTTCTCTAATAGTAGTGCACCCCGGCGAGCCGAATTGATCACGATTTTACGGTTTCCAAGCTTTTGCAGAGGCTCAACACTCAAATCTCCCACTAGATCTCATCGTCAGCTTCTTTCGAATTGTCTTGATAAATTTATTGGTTTATTAGCAAGTTCATTATAACATCTGAGCATTAGAACATTCCGCTAACAAAATCGAAAAGAATACCCTAATGAAAGAGACTAATACTGACAATGAGCAAGCTTTTTTCTATACAAGGTTTCCCAAATCGGAACTAGATCTATAGTTTGAGCTGGCTTGGTTTAACTATTAAGCTTTTGACCTAGTAGAAATGGCACAAAAGGCGGCTCGGTCTTGTATCTGATTACCGCAGTTCCCCCCGCGAGCCGAGTTGGTGACTATTTTACGGTTTCTAGTTTTCGCAGAAGCTCAATACTCTAATCCCCTGCAAGATCTCATCGTCAACTACATTTTCCGACCCCACATCGATAGGTTCTGATAAGCGGTTGTCGAGATTTAGCAAATTTAGAAGCTAGAAATTATTACTCGAAACTAGAAAAACTAGAGTTTTAGAAACTAGCAAATTGCCTTTGAAGAAACTCGGTAAGTATCGTGTTTTCCATGCACGAGCCGAGTTGATCACTATTTTACGGTTTCTAAGTTTTCGCAGAAGCTCAACACTTTAATCCCCCACTAGATCTCATCGTCAGCTACATTTTCCGACCCCACATCGATATGTTCTGATAAGCGGTTCTCGAGATTTCGAGGAATTTAGGTGACGCTCTGGGTGCAATACTATTAGAGAAAATACGATAACAAATCTATCTAACAAGATAACAAAACTTTTGACAAGTCACAATTTGCATACAATTAAGCTTTTCTTAGTAGAGTGGCTGGTTGTTTTTCAAGGCGGCCTTTAACAAGCGGGATTTTGGCGTTAATTTTGAATGAGTTTTAAGCAAAACTTGTGCTATGATATATCAAATTGTTGAAAAGAAATACCTCATAGAATCAATTTTACTTTACAGCTTATTATTAGCTTATTCTTAGTATTAGCTATCTTATTTATAAGCCTAATGTGCCTGACTTGTTTTAAAAGGCTTTATTTTGCCTAAAAAATGAAACACTTTTTGGCATATTTGCTTGAATTTTACGTAAAATTAATTGTTACTGAAAGAAAGTAAAAGTTTTGTATGCGAAATAGGGTCTGTTTTTAGCTTTAAACATAGCCAGCATTTAAACTTATCAAGTCAATAAAACTTATTAAATGAATTAAGCCTTTAAATCTGTGAACAAATCTAAAATCTAGATATATCAAAGCATAAGTTTAGCAAGTTTGTAAGGCAATTTTGGGGGTGCTTTTGTGAGAAGCGATCGGAATTACAGGCAATTCCAAAAGTTCTGGCACAACTTTTTGTAAAAGCTGGCAATTGTCTAACTTATTTGAAAAGTGCTAAGTGTTATATAGAGTTTTAAAGCCCAGAATCTTGGCTACATTTACATATTAAAAGCTTTTGAATTGAAGCCACACAACTCGAGTGACAAGCTTTTGAGTGAACACTACTCGATCTCTTTCCCGCGCGCTGCCATTTTTGACGATTTTCTTTATAAAAAATTATTTAAAATAGCTTTTTTGTTATTGATTTTATAAAATGTAACATTTATTATTATTTAATAACAATAAGAAGCTCTAGAGCAGCATATAAATCAAAAATCGAAATGCTTAAACATCAAAAACTCAATTTACGTTTTTTTTTCCTTGAGATAAACTAAATCAAATTGAATTTTGGTTTAAAAAGTTTGCAAAAAACCGTTAAATATTACTCTTATTGTTATTAAATAATAAGAAATATTATATTTTAATGAAATAAATAACAAAAAAGCTTTTTAAAAACTAGTCAAAAATGGCAGCATGGGGAAAGAGATCGAGTAGTGTTCACTCAAAAGTTTGTCCAAGTTATGTGACTTCAATCCGAAAACTTTTGATATGTAAATGTAGCCAAGATTCTGGGCTTTAAATCTCTATATAACACTTAACACTTTTCAAATAAGTTAGACAATTGCTAGCTTTTACAAAAGTACCAAAACTTTTGAGACACCCTGTAGGCTTTGCTAATTTAGGGAATTGCCTTGGTTCTCGCCATCGTGCCCGGTTCAATCAACGATCTTCGATCAGCCATTGCCTAACATTTATAATTACTTCAAGTTTTACAGCTAATTTTAAAGTTTAGAAGTAAAAAAAATGAAAATCTGAACAGAGAAACTATTGGGTTGGTGAATTGAAAACTGTGGGCTATGTCATATGTGACAGTTTGAGCACTTTCTTCAAAGGAAACCCATTTTGGTGTCAATGGTAAAGTTGTAGAGAATCAAAAATCAAGCTTATATTCAAATTTTCAGAACGATTCAAAAACTGGTTTTCAAGAGATGCAAAATTTACGAATTTTCACAAAAGTTGCATTTTAAGCGAAACTACTAAGTGTATCTTTTTGGAAATTTGGCTATAAGCTTAATTTTTGATTCTCTACAACTTTTCTATTGACACCAAAATGGGTTTCTTTTGAAGAAAGTGCTCAAACTGGGACTTCCATTTTCTCCAGTCCTCCATTTTTGAGTCTCACATTTGTCTCACACACAAACCAAAATCCTACTACGAAAGAGGAATCCGCAAATTGCCTGTAAAACGGGCAGAAGTCGTCAACAATAATGGAAATTATTTGGAATGAATTCATGGTTTTATGTTGAATAAATTTTAGTTCAAAGTCCCGCAGTTTTCAATTCACCAACCCAATAAAAGAGCCTTTTCTCACCGCATCACTCACTCGGGCTCTTCTAAATGGAGAGTTCAGAATTGAATATTTACTTAAGATTTTGTCATTTTTAAAGTCCTATATCATTATCTGTATTTTTTTGAAACCAGGAACAAATTCATTACAATCATCTTTCCCATTTATCAGACAAAAATAGCTTCACCTATCATTGCACTGATAGCAATCAAGGAAAACTATCTTTAAACCATTAGCTATAATATTTATTCCCTAGTTTTCTAATTCTCTAATTCTGAACCCTTCAAAACAGAGGAACACGATGACAGGCGGCAAATGGCCCGACAAGAGACATTGAGAGAAGTCTGGAGACTCACCTTGAGCGCACCAAATGAGAAATCTTCTCGGGGACGCACTTCAGTCTCCCCGTCAGTAAACAACCAATGTTCTCGTTTCTTTACAACTCCCGAATCATCCAAAGTCTTTTGTTTTGTCTAAATGAGAAATTATATTAGCTATAAATGTTTATAGTATAGTGGAGGAGTCGGCAAATGGGTTACAGTTTAAAAATTGGGTACTTATAGAGTTAGGGTCTTTGTTTTCAATCGAGCTCTAGAATTTAGGTTCAGTAAAGCTTCAGAAAAGCTTCAGAATTAAGCCAGTACTAGTTAGTTGGCTAAGTTTTTCGATCATGAGCAAGTTATGAGGTAAAATCTTTGTAGAACTTTAAGTAGTGCATTAGAAGGGGAATCTTTTGAGTTAACAATTGAAATTATTGTGAAAATCAGTAGATAGATCATTTCAATGCCTCAAATTTACCCTACGAAACGCGTTTCGACTCTCGAGGCCCTTTTCAACGGCTCAGGGGAACTCATTGGTCTACTCAACGGAAGTGGCGGTAATGCCTAGCAGATCGAACAGTAAGAGGTCTGTTTTTGAGCCTAAAATCATCAACAGATCACTCACCGACGTATGCAACGACGACTTGACCTTGGCGGCGATGTTTGTCTCAGATTTATTCTTTTGTAGCCCTCCAAAGCTGAGAGTGCTCGTCGTTGGGAATGGAGGCGCTGGTGTTGCTTCAGTGAACTTCACCTAGAATTTAATCAATAATAAAGATAGTAATCAACCTAAGGCTGCATCTGAAATCAATCTGTACATAGGCTTTCAATACATTTTCAATCTTGTAATGTTCTTTGTCAGCCACAGACAATGTTAGAGTCAAATTTTTGCTTTCTTTACTTGCCTAGGGTGTTTTGATAGTCTTTTGCACTATTTAAACATAAAATTTCCATCTGGAAAGGGCATCTAGAGACGTTAAAAACCAAAAAATAGATCAGAACTCTAGAGAAAACAAAAGCTAGCTACAAAGCATCTTAGAAACTCTATAAACTTATTATCAACTGCTTAAAATCCCTATCCAAATACAAACCCTTGTCGCTCCTCGTTCCTCTTCCAAGCGAATTCTCGGCAACATAATATCACTCAACTTGACCGATTTCCTTTCCCCATTACTTCCCTCTCTCTTCAAAGCACTCTTCAACGGATGATCAACTTCATTCAACCCAGTTTTTCGAAGTCGGCTCAACTCTTGCAGCAATGACACCCCTTCTTGTGGCTCCGGTTTCTAAATCCTTCAATTAAAAGCAAAGAAAAGAATTCAACTCACCTTTCCCACATTAATCTTCGTCTCGAATTTCCTTTCTTTTTCTATTTTCTCTTCTCGACTTCCATCTTTACCCAAAAGACTTCGGCGAGTTTTTGAAGTCAAAGTGATTTCAACGTTTTGAAGAGTTTTCTAAAATTTAAACTTATTCAAGTTTATTATTTTTTTAATTACTTTATCCCCTTCAATCTCTTGCATCGCTTTTCCATCAATTTTTCTCAAACGGATCTCATTGAGTTCAAGTTTTTTATTGTCTTTCGTCTCGCCGTCAACCTTAATCAAATGAATTTATAAAAAGGCTTTAAGGATTTTGTAGGGTTTTTCTTTTGTTTTCTATTTTTTGACCAGGGTTACTGTATTCTGTGAGTATAAAAGTAGAATTTTTAGACAATTCTAATCATTATTGTTAGCAGTTTTATGCTACCAATAATTTTCTTTTCTGAAAAGTGTAGAAAATGAGTTTTTATGGATCAAAAACGGAGAAAAGATGAATGAAATTAGTTTTTGAATACAAAATGAGTTTATCAACTCGTCATTTACCTTGGTGAGTTTTTCCAGCACAGCTTTATCGTTTTCTTCTCTTTTCAGCGATCTCTGCGTTTTGATTGTGGTCTTCTCATCACCGAGCAACTCCTCCTTTCTATTTTTCTCCTCTTCCTTGTCCAACTAAAAACAAGAATTCTGAATTTTAAAAGAACAAGGATAACAGATCTTAATTTATATCTTACCCTAAAGTCGCGAGTATAAGTTCTGTTTGGTTTTCGCATGCAAATTGACGGCTGTCTCCGGTGCGGTGTGTCGAGGGTTCGAACCCCGCTGCAGCATAACTTTTTTGCTTTTTAAGAACAATAATAGAAGTAAATTTATTGAGGGTTATAGCAATTTTATGCTGTTATTTGTTGCTCCGGGCGTGGCTCGGCGCGTCCGCCCTGCTCCTCTCCGGTGCTCAGTCTTATGGATCCCTCCCTGGCCTCTTCATCCGGCCAAAGTCCACGTCGACGGTCGAAAGAGATGCTTTCCAGCGTCTTCTTCAACACTATCGTCTGGATGTATCCATGCACATAACAAATAGCAATGGTGATAGGCTGTCACGCCAGCAATGGTGATAGGCTGTCACGCCAGCAATGGTGATAGGCTGTCACGCCAGCAATGGTGATAAGCTGTCACGCCAGCAATGGTGATAGGCTAGTATCCCGCGCTCCAAGAACAATAAAAGTTTATATAACAATAAAAATGCATAAAAACCCCACAAAAAGAAATTCAAAGCAATTAAAGCGAATGTAAATTAAGGCAGAACTTATACACGACACTTTAGGGTAATATTTATCTTAAACTTAATAATCTTAACAAGTAAATCACCTTCTCCTTCTTCGCGACACTTTTCTGAAAAGTCTTCTTCTGCAAGCCAGTCTCCGGACATTTCTCTTCAGCTGTTGTCACTTGACTGACCTTCACCTGCAGCTGTGAGAACATATAGGTTCTTGCTTTTGGAAGAATTTGCGGGAAAGAAAAGAATAAAACAGAAAAGCTCACCTCTTGTTGAGTGCTTCGTTTTCCAATGATTTCCTCAATGTTTTTGTCAGCGGTTCTCGTAGTAAGTTTACGCTCAGTGTTCTCAATCTGGAAACCGTTTTTGAAAACGATAAAAGCATTGATTGAAATGTAAAATATAAAAAAAATATCCAAGCATTGAAAAATCTATTTCTAAACTATTGCTAACTTACTAATCAACTAACTACAAGAATACTTGGCTAGGAGTTCAGGTCTAGAAGCGATCTGTATCCTTGCCTATTCTTGTCTAAGGGTTCAGCGATCAAGTTCTGCGTACTTTGTACTCAAAAAAACATTCACTTTAAGCGCAAAAAGCAAACTAGAACTAGTGTACCAAAAAAGGCTGTGTTTGTAAGAGCACAAAGTACACTTTTATTCCTACTAGGAGCAGCTAGAAGAACGTTTACTTTACCGTACCGTACGACTATGATAGGAGATTATTTTCTGAAAAGGTCAAGAACTTTAATAAATAAATAAAGGAATTGACAAGAGAAAGTAGATTTCCAGAGGGGATTGAAAAAAACCTTAACTCTAACCTTCAATTGCTTTAACCACTGAGCTATTCGATGGCTTAACTTGCCAAGAGAAACAAGGAAAGACAAGAGCGAAGATGAAAGGTATATGATGAGTTTTGTTATTATAAGTGATAAAAATTCGGCCATAGTCACTCGAGTAGCTTTATTAGCGTCACTAAGTTGGTGGGATACCCATTTTCCGATGAGATTCGCTTTACTCAAACGATGTAAATGGCCCGCAATTGTTGTGTGGCATATAGCAAACATCGTTGCAAGTACCCGACGGTAAAAAAAACCCAGCTTAATCTACCTGGATTACTGTAGCCCTATTGCTACGGCTTACGATTGGACTTAGTGCAAAGGCTAAGGGCTAGCGCCTTGCACTAAGTCTACATTGGTTTGGGCTCAACCCCCATTTTCTAGATCTCGGCCAGTTTAGCTTAGGCTTAGGCTACATCAAGCCATAGCTACGGTGCTTTAAAGTTCGTTGGTACAGTACTGGACAATGAAATATCATATTTGAAAAACGATCGTCACTTTCGCGCGTCTGTAACTCCGTTGTCTTTGAGTTTAAACTATTAGTGTTATACATTTTCTGAAAGCTCTTTTCAAGGGCTACACAATAGTAATATTAATATTTAGAAATACGGTAAAGACAAGGGAGTTACAGACGCGCGAAAGTGACGATCTTTTTTCAAATATGATATTTCATTGTCCAGTAGTGTATATGATGAGTTTTGTTATTATAAGTTATAACAATTTTTTAAGCTCATCATTTATTTGATAAACAAACTTTGCTCTTGACTTGTGTCGTCGTCGTTGTCGTACTTTTCTTCTCTGTAATCACCGTTAACTCCTTGAATCCCCGCTTTGGCGTTTCATTCTAAAATTTTTCTTTATTATCCAAAAAATTTTCTTTTATCTTGTCGCATTTCTTGGTAAACCATAGAAAAGCAAAAGCAAAAGCTGTCAATAATTTATTTGAAATGGGTAAGATTTCTTAAAGAAAATTAGAGCAAAATGAAAGCTTTTTGTGGTTTTTCACGGGTTTTCGAAAATTCGTCGCAACTCTGCGAAATTTGGGCGTTTCTAAAGGGTTTTATTTGAAAAGCTCGCTTTTCTATTTGAAAATAAAACCTCATTTGAAGATTTTAGTGGATCCTTTTTCCCGCTAATGGAGAAAGTGAGTGGAGGAGCATCTGATTGCAATTTTTGCATTCGTTCAGCAATTAACGAGTTGACACGAGGCTTTGGAACGTCGAACTGAAAAAATTACAAAATTTTCTTATTAACTTAATACGATTTTTGTCAAGCTAGTTTATCTATAGTACTAGTCGAGAAAACCGCCTAACGGCGGGTTTTTCTGGATGTTTTGGGGACAGAAAATTTTGTCGCCGTAGAGCAGTGGATAGCACGTCGGTCTATCGCCCATAGGATCCGGGTTCGACCCCCGCATTCATTGCAAACGGTCCTCTGGAGGCTGAGGAGTAGCGCGCACAGACGGACAGACAGACAGACGGACAGACAGACAGACGAACGAATAGACAGACAGACGGACCGACGGACCGACGGACGGACAGACGGACGGACAAACAGACAGAGAGACGGACAAACAGGCAGACAGACGGACAAACAGACAGGCAGACGGGCAAACAGGCAGGCAGACGGGCAAACAGACGAACAGACGGACAAACGGACGAACAGACGGACAAACGGACGAACAGACGGACAGACGTCTTAATCGCTTTATATATAGTTGATTTCTGCATTCACTGATTTTGCTTTTCACATAATAACTTTATAACGTTGTCTATGACTCGCTATCTGCCTTACACACTCAAATTTCTTTAGTCGAAATACTTTCAGGTAGATATGAGAAAATTTCAACTCAAACCTAATCTCACCTTCATTTTCTCAACCGTCTCTTGAGCCTTTGTTCTGAATTTTTGTTTACAAATAGAAATTGGTATTTTCTGTTTGTAGACAAAATTTCAGAGTAAACCAAGAGGCGGCTGAGAAAAGAAAGGTGGAGTTAGGCTCGGTTTGGAATTTTCCCATGTCTAGTTTCAAGTTATTCTGAAACCAAGCAAAACTCACCGATCCTCTCGATGTCGATGGTGATTTTGAAGCTCCTTCTGTTTTTGATTCAACCTTCTTCACCATTTCATCATTTACTTTCCGCGTAATTGTCTTAACAATCGATGTGTTTGCATCGCCAAGAGTTTGCTTTGAATTTGTTGTTGTCGTTGTTTCATTCTCTGTTTTTGTGGAGGTAGTAGCATTCTCTTCAGTGCTTGTCTAAACATTGTCTAATGGCTTTGATTTATCGATAAGATTACAGCCATTTAAGTTTCTTATTTTTCTTATTTTCATCAATAAAACTATAACGAATAGTTAATAAGGGAAATTGTATTTAAATATTACATCGTGCCAACTGAATATCTTTCAAACTTTTAAGTAAGTGATGGCGCCGGATAGCCGCACCTATACGCTACATTTCCCCGCGACTAAAAGCCGAGGGATTCAGCGCTGGGCTTTTCCCCGTTCACTCGCCGTTACTAGTGGAATCTTTGTTAATTTCTTTTCCTCCGCTTAGTAATATAAAGCTGTAAAATTTGTTGGTCCCAGTCTGTTTTAATAATTCAATTGTTGCAAATTAAAGCACACAATTGTAGTAAAGTTTGTTTTCTATTTGCCTCTTGCTCTTGATAAATGTAAAAGTTGCCTAATTGACATAAAGTTGTCATTTTTACAAATTCAAAAAAGACATTTGAGAGTAAGAATAGCTTTTAACAAAAAAATAGCTGGCTATAGAAATATTTCAGAGAAAATATCGGCGTAGGTTAATTTCCGCAACAGGGCTATTTTCGCAACTAGGTCGTTTGCGCAACTCGCTATAACTTTTTTCTAAGTTGGCCAATCTTTATGATTTTGGTTTCATTTTGTAGATCTCAACAAGTGTAACAAAATGACACCAAAATCATAAAGATTGACTTAGAAGAAAGTTATGGCGAGTTGCGCAAAAAATTTGGCCCAAAGTATCCACCCCCGACTAAAGCCATTTCAGACTGGCTCAGCTTTCCATGAAGACGAATTAAATAGTCTCTTTTTTAATACAAGAATCAAGTTTTACAGTTTTACAAAGAAATCAAAGTCAAAAAGAATACTCACATTGTTCAGGCTTGAATTTTACGAATAAATCTTTAACTAATCAATTGAAATCCAAAAAATTCCCAGTGTTTTTGCGCAACTCGCCATAACTTTCTTCTAAGTCAATCTTTATGATTTTGATGTCATTTTGTTACACTTGTTGAGATCTACAAAATGACACAAAAATCATAAAGATTGGCCCACTTAGAAGAAAGTTATAGCAAGTTGCGTAAACGACCCAGTTGCGAAAATAACCTTGTTGTGCAAAAAAAGTTGCGGAAACTAGTCTACCCCAAAATATCTCTTACAGAAGCTAATTCTTACCTTGAAAGATCGTCTCTTTGGCTTTTCTCTTTCTTCACCAGAGCTGAGGCCAGAGCTAAGACCAGATCCACCAGTTTGTCGAACTTCAGCTACCAATTTCTTTGATGGCTTTACTCCTTCTGCCTAGAACATAGATTTTCTTGTTTCCTTTTCTATTCAGTTATTGAATTATTCTTAAATCCACCTGTGTTCTAAGAAGATCAAGCTCTGAAGTTCTTGCTGGAGTCTCTCGAACTGGTTTCTTTTTTCGAACAATTTTCTTCTTCTTTGGAACTCCATCGGGAGCTGGTGGCAATTCCGAACCGGGCTAAAAATTTATAATAAAATCGAAATTATTATTACAGACTCTTGCTACTGCCTCATTTTCGCCAATGACAACCGTCGGAATCGCTTTGTTTTCCTTTGTGCTGTCACTTGACTCAGTTTTAAGCATTTTCTTTTCCACTTTTAGAGACTCAGGCGCTTCCTAAATAACAGTAATAAATAGAATCTTTTTCTAAAAACCTCTTGAACTTCAGCTGTTGATGGCTCACAATCAGTGACCACTACCGCTGGCTCAACCTTTGACTGCGCTTCAGCATTTTTCATTGCCAACACAGCACCAGCCAAGCTCTTCTTCTTCTTTTTCAACCCTTCGACTTTTGCCTAAACTTTCTTCATTTTCATTTCCTCGATTTTCCCAAAACCTTTCCAAAGTACTCGAGTCCATTTGCGGAGTTTCTTTGTCTCAAAACGTTCAAGATTTGTGCAAACTCGCAATAGCTCATTACGGCGAAAGTTGCCTTCTAAAAATCAATGATAAATCAATTAATGATAAATTTTTAAAAAACCATCTTTCGATGAGTGAAAAGCAACTAGGGAAGTTAGTCTAAATATACCCGGAATCGCCTTCTGATATTGTATCGTCTGAGCTTATCTGTTGGGATAGCTGGGCCAATGTTTGGTTGATCCAAGAGGACATCTTTTTGGGCTCTCTCACGGACATTTGCAAGCCAAGGATGGGAGAGGCATTCTTTCGGAAGCATTCGGAGGCTGGAATGGTTTGATTTACAGTAATCCTTTGACTTACAGTAACCTTTGACTTACTGTAGTCCCTTGGCTTACAGTAACCCTCTGGCTTATAGTAGCCGCTTGACTTACGGTTGCCCTTCTACTTACAGTGACTCTTCAATCCACAGCAATCTTTGACTCATCGAGCCTACAGTAACCTTAGACTTACCGAATCTACAGTAAACTTTGAGTTATTGAACCTAGAGTAATCTTTGACTTCCGGAACCTACAGTAATCTTTGACTTATTGAACCTACAGTAATCTGTCTAACCGTAAGAGAAAGAATCTCTTACAGTACAGAATTCTGTCATAACTCCATTTTCTAACAATAAATCACCTCTTGTCATAAACCAAAAGCTTTGAGATGAAATCCTTGGCCACTTCGGAGACACAATCAAACTCCTCAATGAACTCCCACTCTCCTCTTTCCACATTCATATACGTCAATGGAGTCGTTTCACCGAGAAACGGGGAATATCCGGATAAACTGAAATCGAATTTTGCAAATATATTTGCCATATCTTTTACAGAATATAGGTGATCACTCCAACACTCCACATATCTGTGTGAAAGTCGAGTGGCTCGAATTTGATCACTTCTGGAGCTGAGAACTCGGGAGTTCCTAGAAATCCGAGAAGTTTATTGTAATCTAGACATTGCTTGTTGTATTTTATTGTTATTTTCTATCCATAATGCTCACCAGCCATATAGTAAAGATCTTCACTGCCATCATAATGCCTAGCCAAACCGAAGTCGATCAATTTGATTCGATTTCCCGATTCAGTGACGCACATAATGTTTTCCGGCTTAATTTTTACAGATTTTTACCGATTTTTACCGATTTTTACAGATTTTACAATTGATCTTTACATTTTACTCATTTTGTTTCTATTTTTAATCTCATCGCTTTCCTTTTCCAGCTCATTCATTTTAGAGGCGCTTCCTGGTTTTACTGATAAACTCAAAGCGAATAATTTGATCATTTATCATAAATTTTTGAGAATTAGATTTTATTGGAGAAGTTAAAAGATAAAAATAGCTAGAATGGAATACAGGAATCAGAGTTTACTGATTGATCTGTCTCATAAACATCTTTGAGCTACGAAAGGCTTTAAGCCTTTAAGCTTTAAGCCTTTAAGCTTTAAGCCTTTAAGCTTTAAACCTTTAAACTTTAAGCCTTTAAACTTTAAGCCTTAAACCTTTAAACTTTAAGCCTTTAAACTTTAAGCCTTTAAACTTTAAGCCTTTAAGCCTTTAAGCTTTAAGCTTTAAGCTTTAAGCTTTAAGCCTTTAAACCTTTAAGCTTTAAACCTTTAAGCTTTAAGCCTTTAAGCTTTAAGCCTTTCAGCTTTAAGCCTTTAACTTTAAGCCTTTAAGCTTTAAGCATTTAAGCCTTTAAGCTTTAAACCTTTAAGCTTTAAGCCTTTAAGCTTTAAGCTTTAGGCCTTTAAGCTTTAAACCTTTAAGCTTTAAGCATCTTTAAGCTTTAAACCTTTAAACTTTAAGCTTTAAACCTTTAAGCTTTAAGCCTTTAAACTTTAAGCTTTAAACCTTTAAGCTTTAAGCCTTTAAACTTTAAGCCTTTAAACTTTAAGCATTCTCGGATAGCTACGAAAGCTAGAGCTTTGAATACTTTTTCAACTTTTATAGAAAACTTTTAAACCAAGTAAAGTAGTCTTTTTGTTGGTCATAAATGATCTAAACCTTTTGCTCTACACTGACTTTCTAGTTCACCGATTCAACTCTTTATCTTTTATCTAATAGCTTTTGACTTAATTTTTGGTTCTCCAGGCATCTTAGACAAGTCATGAACATAGATCTTGATCAATGTTTGAAAGAGGAAAGGAATGTGTTGCTCATTTGTTTTTAAGGCGGATGGGGGATGAAAATAGGTATTGAAGAACTCGAGATCTCACTGAATGTTGGAGAAAACTTTTTCCTGGAGATAGATGGGGTCAGCTGTCTCTAAACACAAAAAGATCTGCCTGTGTTTGAGAATGAAAAGAGAAAGAGCTTTTGAAGGCTTTTCCCCATTATTGACGTCAACTTTGGGTCGATTGAAGCCGATTTTCTCTAACGTTCCAATCCTTTCTGAGAATTGATCACTGTGACGAAATCAAACAATATTTTGACTTATTTTTTCAACAAAACATTACTCAAAGTCTTAAAATAGAAAACAGAATTAGATCTTTACCTTAAAAACTTCTCCAAAACAACTTAAACAAGTTGGATCTTGAATTTGGGCATTTCTAGCAAATTCAATATAACTTTAATCTATGTTAAAACAATATTACAAACCTTTATATCAAGATGAACAATGTTCTGTCGATGAATGTAATCAATGGCCTCACATAGCTGACAAATAATCACCGCTGCGGCTGCTTCAGTGAGAACAAAGTTGTCCTCAACGACCCGATTGAAGAGCTCACCGCCTTTCACTCTAAACCAAAGCTGCTTTCGTTTGTAACTAATTCCCTACTTTCTCCAAACGATTCAAATTGAAAAAAATTAAGCTCTTTTCCTCTAATTGACTTCTAGAGATCTTAAAAAGTTTTATTAATGCTTAAAAATTTACTAAAAAGTTTATCTCATAAAGTTGATTTTATTTGAAGCTGAAAGCTTTAAAAACTTAAGTGAAATATACTGAAGTCATCATATTTTAAGCATTCTTTTTAACACTCACAATTCCATCACTAAGATTACATCATTGTTTGTGGAATAGAAAGCATCATAAATCCAAGCAATCCTCGGATGTCTCATCCTCGTCATCACTGACACTTCATGCTCCACTTGTTCCCGATCTGCATCCTAAAACCAAAAGATTTTCTTTCTAATAATATTCCTAAATACATTTATCACTCTGGACCGGACTTTGTATTATTTATTTTGAAATTTTATAGAAATCTTTTGTTATTGATGAGAAGATTCTCATATGGAAAGCTTGAAAAAGCCAATTATTGAACATGCCAGCTTACAAGAGAGGTTACCACCAGCTTTTAAAACCTCTCCTAGCACATCCAAACTAGTTTTTGATCTGACAGCTTTGATAACTAACTTTTAGCAGATTGGCTAGCCCTATACACATTCAAAATGGTAAAACGTAAAACAAAAAAGTGTTAGAAACCGTTTTTTAAAAAAAGCCAAAAAGAAAAGCTGCACCCGGATCCGAACCAGGGATGCAAGAATGTAAGCGTAGCGAACTACCACTACACCATTCGGCCACTGTTTTCTCTTCTTTAACTTTCCTTCTTAAAGGCGGTGTCTTCTTTGCGCGAATACTATTTTTTAGCTAACTTAAAAACGATTTTTCTTGGCCGCAGAGGGCGTCCAGGGTAGATTTGAGTAAAGATTCGGAATAAGCGCAAAAAAAACTGATCTAGATGTGCTAGGCCACGTTTTAAAAGTGGCAAATTGACGAACCTCCCTTGATAGAAAAAGAAAAGCCAAGATGTTCTTATTTCAAGTTTTTTTTTCACTTCAGTTCTCAATACTGAAACTTACAAGAGGACGACCCATTCCGTCCTGAATAAATTGGAATTCGAGGAAAATTGTGAAAGTTTTAGTTATTCTCTAACTTACTTTTCTGATTTTGATGAACTTAGCGGCCAACTCGAGTCCAGTAGATTTCTCGACGCAATGGTAGACTTTACCAAATTTTCCTCTAAACTTGATGATGAAATTTTAACAGTAAGAGATTCGAATAGAATTCTAATGAGCTTTTCTAAAGTTACTTACAAGAGGACGATCCATTTCGTCTTGAATAAATGAATAACTAAGTGTAACTAAGAGATTCTTACAAATTCTTGTTCTTGTGCTAAAAGGTATAGTTTCTTCGAAATAAAATTCGTTTCTTTGTCAAAAGAAATCAACAATTGCGTTTTTCGTTGATGAAGTCAATAGGTTAGTGAAAAAAGTTGTAACTGTAAGGTAAACTACTGTAATATTCTTAAATATATAATATTCTAGAACTTCTAGAACTTCTAAATCGATTCTAGAACTTCTAGATGGATTTTAGAACTTCTAAATCGATTCTAGAACTTCTAGATCGATTCTAGAACTTCTAAATCGATTCTAGAACTTCTAGATCGATTCTAGGACTTCTAGATCGATTTCTGATATCGATATCTTCACTCACTCTCCAATCGGCTCTCCATCAATGTCATAAAACTGCTCAAACTTTGCATTGTTTCGTATTCGCACCACTTCTTTGTGATCGAATGGTGGATACTCTTCTTCTAAAACCATTTCTCTTTCATTTTTCTTTATCTTCTTTTATTTATTTTCAATTTTAAATCTACTTCCTTGTCAGAAAAATCACACTTTCACACCCAAGATTAAAAACATTTCAAAGGCATTTCCCCCCAAACATTTGATCTCTGTTTTTCTTAGAAGTGACCATCTGGAAATCTGGGAATCTTGGAAAAGAGATAAAGTAGAAAAAAAATGAAGGGAAAAAGAAGAGAAGTGGAGATGGATGGATGAAATGATCGTTGATAGATCTCGAAGAGAGATGGCCCGGGTGTTCCCCACTCTTTTCCAAACTTTCCCCAAAATTTCTCAAGAAAAAATCCATTCTCGAGTGCTCAAAAAGGGGAAACCCATGAGAAAATGTGTGTTTTTAAACTTTCGATGATAAAGCTTTTGATAAAAGTTGTTGACTTGGTTTGCAAGGTGAAGTGTTTGAATGATTTCAATGATTTCAATGATTTCATTGAATGTAACTACTTTATAGGCTACGTGAATGTCCTTTTAACATCAAAAGTGGTGATAAAACCTTCTTTTCATTGAGCATTTAATGTTTTTGTTACTTATCATTTGAAATCGCATACCTGTTGGATAAAGCTCATCGACGAGAATCACATCGGGATCTTGCTGGGAGGGCTGCGGAGCACCGCCCACACACACCATGCAATTGTCTGTAAATTGTCTGTAAATTGTCTGTAAATTCATTTTAAATTCTTTCTCATCTCTTTTCTTTTCAAAATTCTTTTTCATCTAAGAGTTTCCATTTCTTAAAATGAAAAGAACTAGTCTAAAAGTCAGATTAAGCAGAGATTTTAACTCTGCTACTTTCTTGATCCGTTTTGCCGTTGGCAATCTATGAATTTTTGCTTGTATCTAACCGAATTTTTGTTTGTAAAACGTGGAAATTTGCTTTCATTCGATAGAAAATTTGATTTCGAGTCGAATGAAAGTAAATTCAACCTTTTTGGAAACAAAATCCGGTTAAGATACGAGAAAAATACGATTGCCAGTGGCAAACGAACCGACAGGGGAAAATTTGTAGATTGACAATGGAAAACGGGCTGAAAAAGAACAAAATTTGTAGATTTACAATGGCAAACAGGCTGAAAAAGAACAAAATTTGTGGATTGACAATGACAATTTGACCGAAAATGATATAAGAATATGTAAAAAGAATTTGAGAATGTCGATCAAGTAAAATTCTAAAGTAAAACCAATGTTTAACTTTCAAAAGCTTAAGTCAAATGGAAAGTCAGAAACTTTTTCAGAAACAAAAGGCAATTTCTGACTTTCTCTATCTATTCCACGATCAAAAAGGCTCTAAAGCAAAGGAAGATTCCAAGAAATTGACTCAAGTGAAAAGAATCGATTCCATTTCTTACTTGTCTTCTTGCATCTCTGATCTGAGTGGGTGCGGTCATCGATAGACACCTTCGGAATATCATTTCCTTTCTCATCACTCATGTTTGCAATACTCTTATTCACAGTTTAGACTGGAGTTTGTGAAAAGAAAGAATATAAAATAAGGAAATGAACGTTTTTTTTTCAATTCGAATCGTTTGGAAATGGAGAATGGAGGGAATTAGTCATAAAAAACACATCTCATATTGATTAAAATGAGATGGCAGCGATGATTTCTCAGTGAACCCAAACAAATGTCGTGAAAACGATGTGTGAAAGGAAAATAATCCGATTTTTAAGGGAATTGTAAACGGAAAGATTTACATTAAATTGTTGAACAATTTGAAATATTTGTTTGTTATTTTTGTTTGGAAACGAATGACGATCAGAGATGACTCAATGAGTTGTGCAAATGTTCAGTTAAACTCTTTCCAAGGGTTGGTGAATTGAAAACTGCGGGCTATTGTCATATGTGACAGTTTGAGCACTTTCTTCAAAAGAAACCCATTTTGGTGTCAATGGAAAAGTTGTAGAGAATCAAAAATCAAGCTTATATCCAAATTTTCAGAACGATTCAAAAACTGGTTTTCAAGAAATGCCAAATTTACGAATTTTCACAAAATTTGCATTTTAAGCGAAACTACTAAGTGTATCTTTTTGGAAATTTGGCTATAAGCCTAATTTTTGATTCTCTACAACTTTTCTATTGACACCAAAATGGGTTTCTTTTGAGGAAAGTGCTCAAACGGGGACATCTCCAGTCCTCCATTTTTGAGTCTCACACTTGTCTCACACACAAACCAAAATCCTACTACGAAAGAGGAATCCGCAAATTGCCTGTAAAATGGGCAGAAGTTGTCAATAATAATGGAAATTATTTCGAATGAATTCATGGTTTTATGTTGAATAGATTTCAGCTCAAAGCCCCGCAGTTTTCAATTCACCAACCCAATATAATAAAATTCGCCCTGATGTTGCAAAACTGACTCGCTCTAAAATAAACAGCCTTGTTTGGGAACTTTTGGCGCATTCCCCATACAGCCCGGACCTCGCCCCTTTTGATTACTATTTATTCCGGATCATGAGTAATGAGCTTGCGGGAGAACACTTCGATTCAGAAGAAGCAGTCAAAAATTGGCTTTGAAAGTTTTTCGATTCAAAACCAAAATCCTACTAACAAAGAGGAATCCGCAAATTGCCTGTAAAATGGGCAGAAGTCGTCAATAATAATGGAAGTTATTTAGAATGAATTCATGGTTTTATTTTGAATAAATTTTAGTTCAAAGTCCGGCAGTTTTCAATTCACCAACCCAATAGTTTAACAAAAGTCAAGATTTAAAATTACAACTAATTCCAGAATAACATTCAATAAAAAAGCTTTTACTTAAGGGAACTTTAGAGCTTTTCAATTTCCAGGTAATTAGCTCTGAGTGAAAGTTTTTTTTTGCAAAGCACCCGTACTTTCACAAAATGCGTCTTTGGTATCAAAAAATAGCCCTGAATCTCAGTTATTTTTTGATACCTAAGCGCGCATTGTAGCATAAACCAGTGTCGAGAAACACTCGTTCAAAGCTAGACTACGCGACACTCCGCACCGTCATTATCGGGGTGGGGTACTATTACAGTATTTACGGTAAGTTTAATGGAGATTTTCATTTGAATATTTGATCGAAAACTTGTAAAAATACCGAAAACTTTCTTAAAGATTAAATGCAAAAAATCAACAAATCAACAAAAATTCGATGAATCATTTAAACCTTTTTTTCCTTTCTGATTCACTATAAACCTTAAATCAAAGAATTTCAAGAAAAAAAAAACAAAGACAAAATATTTCCATTGACATCAGTGAGAAGAAAACAATTAGAAAAACTCGATTAAAGAACTGAAAGGTTTTCAGAACAATGGAGAAGTGTAATGAGATTTTTTTTGGGTGCAAAATGGGAAGCTGTGAGCGGTTCTTGTGAGCGAAATGATAAGAATGGGAATTCCGGAGATTTTTTTTGAGAGAATTGTCAAATTGGAATTAGTAGAAAGTAGAAAAAGATTATGGGGAAATGACGAAAAGTTTTCTTTATCAAATTTTGACAGAAGATTGGATGTTTTCTAGTTTAAACTTATGATTTTTCAAAGCACAATGACCTAGGAATGGTTTAAGATTTAAATGAGAGTTCTTAGTTAAATGTTTTGATCGATAAATGTCGAATTGAACAATAAATTGTTATCAGAAACGGCTTATGTACCTGCAACTGGACAGAATGAACGCAAATTTATTGTAAATTTTGATAAGAAATTTGTTATCATTAGCAGATTGACAGGTCACGGGTTCGAATCCTAGCGCGGACTATGTTTTGGATCCCCAGCCGCAATCCATAAAAAAAACCAACCATAGCCAAACATATCAATGACAATATAAAAAGAAACAAAGTACCAGTAGTGCCAAAAGTCACAAGAAAGGTAAGAACACTGCTCTACCAATAGTTAAATTCATGACTATTCTTCACTCTAGTCTTACAAAGGAACTAGCTACAGTCAAATCTCGATTTAATGATTCTTGATGTCAATTTTTGGTCCCTTAAAACTATTTACCTTATAAAGACGTTCGATTTAACGATTTACTCGATTTAACGATGGAGAATCCCGATCCCTTGCGAACCGTTAAATCGAGCTTTGATTGTATATAAGAAAGCAAATCAGGTCAATTAGATTATCAAAACGGATTCAGAATCAGCATCAAAAACAACAAGAACAAGAAAAAGAACAAGAAAAAGAACAAGAAAAGAACAAGAACAAGAACAAGAACAAGAACAAGAAAATCAAGAACTTGGTTTCTTTTGAAAGTTACTATGATTTTGAAGAACCCATCAACTTTCATCAACCATCAGCGTCTTGACCTTCAAAACGAACCAAAGATTCACAATGAGTTCAAGACTTGCGTTTTTCTTATGAACTAAATGGAGCAAAATCAACTTGTAATAAGCAATGTGGAATAGAAAAATGGATTAATGTTTAGCACGGGTAAACAAATTAGATTTCAAAAAAATGAATTCAAATTTACTATCACAATCAGTATTGTTTGTCGAACTTTAGTTCATTCCCAAGGGTCACCAAAGTTTCTTTGCTCATATCGACTTTTATTCTCTATTTCTCTCTTTTCTTTTAAGAATCCTGAAACGAACAACGAATTTGAAGGACTGTGAGAATTGGGGAAAAGAGGACAAAGAGCAAATAGATGAATGACTGCCACCTCTTCTTTTTCTTTTCTTTGAAAAATGTGTGAATTTGTTTAAACGAATGCCAAACAGTCGTTCTATTGTTTAGTTGGAATGAAATTAGAAATAAGAAAAAGGGCAAAAGGTAAGCGTTGAGAAATAACAAGTAGACAAGGCTAGCTCCTAGACAATCTCAGTTTTTAGCTTTGGTAACTTCTTGATCCAGTTCAACACTGAAATTCAAGCCAGGATTACAGGTTTTAACAAAGACTGATGTACGAATCCAATTCCTCGTTGAAACAGTAAAAATTTGGTAGAGGAAATAATTTTTCTTTCTTTCCGGATCCCATTTGTCACAATCGATTCATTGGAATTTCTTTTGGCTTAACAAAAAGCAATTCTTTTGAGTGAAACAATGAAAAGGATCACATGTTGGGAGAAAGAAGTGGGACGACTTTGGATTGGATTGACAACTGTCCCCTTTCCCCTTTTCATATAGGAAATTTTCAACCCGAACCTAATTTTACCTTTGTTTTCTTGATCAATTTTTCTGATAGAAATCGACATTTTCAGCTTGTAGACAAAATTTTAAAGCAATTGGCCAACGGCTGAGAAAACGAAGGTGAAAATAGGTTCGCGTTCTTATGTCTATCACATAATTATGATTATGAACACTTGGAAAGCTGGAGTTTGGTCATTACATCAGAAATTAAGATTTAAAAGAACTATGCCTATAATGGCTTTGAATTGACGATGGTTTTACTTTAAAAGAACTATGAATTGCTTAAAGACAACTGTATTCAAACTTTACTAGTTTTAAGTCGAAAATACTTACCTTAGTAGGTATCTATCTAAATATTACAATACAATAGATGTTATTTGATATAGACGCATGATATAAAAAAAGACTTTGAAAAAGAAAAAAAAATAGAACATATATTAGCATGTTTATATTATTTTATATAAGATAAATCCATATATATTTAGTTACACTATTAAGGCTATCTAAATATATAAACATAGACTAACCTAGACTATTAAACTACCAAGTTACTTGAGCAAAACACTCACAATATCTTAAATAATGTCACAGAAAAGCTCAAGTTAAAGCTCTTCTTGAGTTGAATTCTTGAAACGATAAAAAATGAGTCAGTAAATATCAAGAACTCTAGCTAACAAGAACTCTAGCTAACAGGACTCTAGCTAACAAGAACTCTAGCTAACTTTTATCCAAAATTCGATTTCGTTTCCATATTCACTTTGATCAACTTCTAATAAACGTTTTTGCGAAAGAGTTTTCAAGTGTTCGAAGAAGGGGAAAGCTGAGTTGGATCGATGAGAAAGTTGAGGAGATCAAGAGAGAAAAGGTTGAGATCAGGCGGATATGGGGGACGTGGGGTCCTCACGGGAAGAGAGGGGAAGGGATGAGAAAAACAGCGCTCTCTCAACCCCAAGAACTCAGCCACGGACAGACCCAACCGCCCCCGAGCAGCAAAAATGAACTCCCATGATCTCTTTTCTCGAGAATAATGAAAAGAAAGGGTTTGATCGTAAAAGTTTCTGCAATTCATTAGAAACTTTATAGCTTTAGGGATCTAGAAGATCAATAAACAGCTTCAATAACCTCAAGAAACTCTAAAAATTGATTAAGTTTTGAAATTTCTTTGAAAAAAAGAATGAATAGGTCTAGCTTTATTTAAAGTTATAGAAGATTAGCTAAAAAAGATCAGCTTTAGATCAGCTTAGATTAGCAAAATAGTAAATGAAAGTTTAAAGACTAAACTCTAGACTTAAATAAAGTCAAACGAATCAATAAGGTGATGATAATTTGATTTAAAAAAAAGTGTCAATAAAAGATTTTAACTTAAGTTCAATTGTGAGAAAGAATGAGAACTGGAAGGATCGTTTGGGTGAAAGGGAAAGGGGTGAGGATAAGTCAACAGTTGTGTTGGGGTGAGTGGAAGGGAAACGGGGGCAAATGGGAGAAATCTAGGCAAAAAGGCCTTCAAAGAGGCCAAAGAAAGAGAAATTCTCTGGCATTTCGACAACAAAACAACTTTTGGGGGGTTTTTTTTGAGTATTTCTTTCATGTTTATCAATCTTTGTAGCTTTAAGGTTGAATATTTTGATTGTTTGAAGAAAGTTGATTGAAATAGAGGCAGAGCTTTTGATAAATGAAAGAAAGAAGTAAAATAAAATGATGAAAACTTTTGTTTTGTTTTTAAGATTTCAAATCTCAGGTTAGATTTTAAAAGCTAAACAAATAAAGTAATATTTTCTATAGTTAGCTAAGTTTTTCAAGTTAAAAGAGAGTTTAAAAGAGTACAAAAGATTTCTCGAAATCAAAATTACAATTTTAAAGGTTTAGAATTGTAATTTTGAAATATTACTTTATTTGTTTAGCTTTTAAAATCTAACCGGAGATTTGAAATCTTAACCTTTAGAAGTCTAAAGGTTATAGATCAACTAAAAAAGTCTAAAGGTTATAGATCAATTTAAAAAGTCTAAAGCTTATAGATCAACTACAAAAGTCTAAATCTGATAGATCAACTAAAAAAGTCTAAAGCTTATAGATCTACTACAAAAGTCTAAGTCTTATAGATCAACTAAAAAAGTCTAAAGGTTATAGATTAACTTAAAAAGTCTAAAGCTTATAGATCATCTAAAAAAGTCTAAGTCTTATAGATCAACTAAAAAAGTCTAAAGGTTATAGATCAATTTAAAAATTCTAAAGCTTATAGATCTACTAAAAACTAGATTTAAACCTAGATTAAAATCTAGTTTTAATAGATCAATGATCAATGGAAAAAACTAGTTCATAAAGCTTGTTTGTGAAAACCTCGTTGAAATTCCAATTCTCCTTTTTGCGATAACTTATCAGTAGCCAAATTTTCCGAACCCTTTGAACTTGTTTACTGAAAAAACTAGGACAAAGTTTAAAAGAAATTTATTCTAAAATTTTTAAAGCTGCTTAGTTTCTAATAAAAACTACAGGGTGATCAAGAATCACCGCAACAAACAAAAGGCCTGGCTTTTAACCAAATATGCATCTCGAAAAGTTAACTTAAATATCTTTATTCAACCGATTGGTTAGAGTTTAATCTTAGACGATCGCGCACTTTCTTGACAGTAGCCGGAGTAACCGCTGTTCGTTTTGCACCTCTTCCAGGATCAGAAGATCAGAAACTGTGCCCAGAGTTTCATAAAGTTGAATGGTTCGAGAAACGAGGCTTCTGGGAACATTCAGGCTCACTTGAGATCTCGCTCGCCTGAACACACTGCCGCTTGAGCTCTAGGATCGATTGTCGATGTGGAGAGGCGTTCACTATTCCTAAAAACAACCATACTAATGTATTGAAAGTTAGTAATCATACCATAAAATAAGAAAAATACAAAAAAACCATAAAAACCGTAAAAACAGGTAAGCAAAAAGTGAAATGGGGCTCATAACATAATACGACGTTGTTACGGTAATTCTTGGTCACCCTGTAGTATTGAATTCGTTACTTTTTACATTACAATACCCCTATAGTACCTTGAAGTACCTTAAAGTTTACTTAAAGTTTACTTTATTTACCTGGCATCTGTTAAATAATAACTATGACAATAAGCTGGGATCACTGTGAAAGATTCAGTTTAAAAGTTTTAATAAAATTCTTATTTATTCTCATACATCATAGTGAAAAATCACAAGATAAAGTAGTTTACGTTAAAAATGAAATAAATACACCTCTAAAGGGATTACTATCACAAGGTTCACAAGTAATTGTTCTTTGTAAGTCTGTGAATAAACATCTAAACATTTCACATCACATAACAGAAGAGACCAATTCAACTGGAAATCAGATGGAAAACTTGTAACCTATCTTGGGAATGACCGACTGATTTTAAGATTAACAATCAGAAACAGAAATAACTACCGATCTCATCCAAAATCGCCACCAGTAAATCTTTATAAAGCCTCTCAATGCGGCGAAAGAGCTATGACATTGCTTTGTCATGCTTGAATACTCTTGGAACTCCTTTCTTCTAAAGGAGTTCCAAGTGCTTATTATCTTTGGCTTTGACTTCTTCAAAGCCAAAGATAATAGTAAGAATGAACATGATTTTAAAGCTTTTAATGCCCCAGAGAGCTTCAGAGATTTTCTTCAAGATCATTTTGTTCTTCGAGAAAAAAAATAAAAGATTTAAAAGCTTTGAAACCCTTTCTCTTTTCTCTAAAGCAAAAATCTTTTGCAATCCAGGTTTATTTCTTTCTTGAAGTTGCAAAAAAGGGTTGTAAGTATATTTTGGAATAAAGAAAAACGTGTTTAAAGTGTTTTTATCGCTTTTTAGCAAACCTTTTTGAGCTGAATTCTGAGTTTGAATAAATTTATGATACCAGCACATATTATCACATAAAGAGAACCTACTGTGACACAAAAATTTGTGACTATAAAATGAACGACTGGGATGAGCATGATGGAATGAGATTAAGGCATTACTAGACTACTAGATAAGAAGAAAAGTAGATACTTATCTTAATTACCGTAAATACTGTAATAGTACCCCATCCCCATAATGACGGTGCGGAGTCTTGCGTAGTCTAGCTTTGAACGCGTTTTTCTCGACACTGGTTTATGCTACGATGTGCGCTTAGGTATCAAAAAATAGCTGAAATTCAGGGCTATTTTTTGATACCAAAGATAATGACGGTGCGGAGTCTTGCGTAGTCTAGCTTTGAACGAGTGTTTCTCGACACTGGTTTATGCTACAATGCGCGCTTGGGTATCAAAAGATAGCCCTGAATTTCAGCTTTTTTTGATACCAAAGACGCATTTTTTGAAAGTACGGGTGCTTTGCAAAAACTGAAATACTAAAAAACTTTTGCGACTACGCGACTGTACGAGGGCGGCGGGATACTATTACAGTATTTACGGTAAATTACTATACTTAAGTAAGTAGATACTTCTGCATATCCCAAAAAAAATTTGCTTTTTTAAAAAGCTCATCAAAATGCCTCTGCAGCAAATTGGTAACTCGACAAAATTTGTATTGGACTTTATTTGCATTTGTTTTAAACCCCAAAAAACCCTAGCAACGAAGAAAAATGATTTCATACGACTTATTCTTGTTTGGATGGTTCTGTCGCTCTTTTTTAAATGCAAATTTTGTTAGGAAATAACCGATAAGTACCTGCTAAGTTTGACAACTTAAGGCAACAAGTACACAAGATTCTGCAACAGATCAAAGACTATCCAATTAAAGTTCGGCTAGCGACAGGAAATTTTCGCATTTCGACAGACAATGCGAAGAGATAATCGTAGCATTCAAGCCTGTAAAGTTTATCGTTAAATTTAAATGCAATGATAAAGCTTATACAAACAGCTACAACAATTCTAGCCTTGTTGCTGTAAACACTGGGGATTTTTTGGATTTCGATTGATTAGTTGAAGAGATAGGTTTATTCTTCAACTTCAACGCAACAGGTTTATTTGCGCAACTGGGTCGTTTACGCAACTTGCTATAACTTTCTTCTAAGTGGGCCAATCTTTATGATTTTTGTGTCATTTTGTAGATCTCAACAAGTGTAACAAAATGACACCAAAAACATAAAGATTGACTTAGAAGAAAGTTATGGCGAGTTGCGCAAAAACAATTTTTATGTTTTTGGTGTCATTTTGTTGCACTTATTGAGATCTACAAAATGACACAAAAATCATAAAGATTGGCCCACTTAGAAGAAAGTTATAGCGAGTTGCGCAAAAGACCCAGTTGCGCAAAAAATTTGGCACAAAGTATCCACCGCCCTTTAGTCCTAAAAGGGCAGACTGAACTCCCTCTGAAGCAAGTGAGATCAAATGCATTGTGGTGTAGTGGTTGGCATAGTTGCCTGGTAAGCAGTAGGTCATGGGTTCCCGACAGGGTACAAGCTTTTGACCTGCCTTAGTTCCAAATGTACAAGAGTAATTACAATTTTGCTACCTTATTCTTAGATTCATTTTCTTCTACTGTGTGTTGTGTATTTTGTGATAAACCTTTCAGAAAAATGTGAAAAGATCCTTAAGTTTATCTCTCTTTTGCATTTCATTTTTGTTTACTCACATGATTTTCGTTTGCTCCCACGAGTCACCCCAAACGAAAACCCCGTGATTCTTGACGAGCATCGCTGTCGCCTCTGGATGTTCATCAAGAACATCGCAGAGTTGAGGCTAAATAATTGTATCGTTTTGTTTTATGTTATCAAGTATTCAGTGTTCAGAGTTTCACTCACCAAAAGCTGATCTTCCGTATCCGTGTTCTCGACAATCGGCACTTTCACCGTTTCACTGTAACGATAGTTCCTCTTCTCTACCGGATTGTAGATTCCTGAAAGTTTAGAAATAAAAATAAACGGATTTTCAAATACCGTATTTTATCTAATAGCAGTGTACCCCGGCGAGCCGGGTTAATGACGATTTTACGGTTTCCAAGCTTTCGTAGAAGCTCAATACTCTAATCCCCCCACTAGATCTCATCGTCAGCTACATTTTCCGACCCCACATCGATAGGTTCTGATAAGCGACTCTCGAGATTTCGAGCAATTTTGACGACGCTCAGGGTGCACTACATTAGAGAAAATACGGTATATTGAAAGCTCTACAATATCTACAAAGTCAAGTTAATGTCCGCGATTGTATGATATATGTAGATCTATACTCAAATACCGTATTTTATCTAATAGTAGTGCACGGCGCCTAGCCGAGCTGATGACTATTTTACGGTTTCCAATTTTTCCCAGAAGCTCAACACTCTAATCCCCCACAAGATCTCATCGTCGGCTACATTTTCCAACCGGACATCAATAGGTTCTGATAAGCGGTTCTCGAGATTTCGAGCAATTTAGGCGACGCTCAGGGTGCACTACTATTAGAGAAAATACGGTAATTACCTTTGATGTATTCTTGTTCATGGGTTTTCCATTTGTTCGAAGGCGTGAAGAAGGAGGATCTCTCGGTTGTGACGAGATTGGAAGCGAGCGAATGCGTATGGATCACACATTTCACATCTAAAAACGATTTAAGAATTGAGTTTTCTGTAAAGCCTTAGCTCTAAAATGGATTAGCTAGTATTTTAGAATGACTATTGCTTGGTATACAAATCTGGGAATTACGATGCTGACAAGGGAACCACAGGGACTTACAGACGAAGTCAAATAGACGAGTTTCTCGATAGAAAGCGAAATGCTTATAATCGTTATAACTACCGTAATCTTGGAGAATTGAAGCTGAATTTTTAATATATTCTTCCCCAGAGATGACTCTACCAACCCACCAATTCTCGGGGCAATCGTAAGTATCTGTGGTTCTCTTGTGAGATTTTTGTATGAGATTATCATTATTATTTCAAATCTATCTATGATTTCCTGTTAGTAAAGCGAGCGTTAAATTCTGGCTTATCCTAATTAGTGATGGAATTAAAGTAAGCTGATCAATCCACCTCTTCTTTTCATGATTTCAACAAAGAGATGCCCGCATGCAGAAGCTTTTATTCTTTGATTTTTTGGTTGTTGCAGAATTGTCAACGTTTTAAAATCATAGATAAAAATATCGGATCTAGAAATTTGAATATTTAAACTTAAGCTTTAACTTTAAAACTAACGGCTTTATTCGCTCTTTTTGCACACCGGATGGACTAATCCAGAGCTCATCACCGATTCGAATCTGAAATTTGTTGTTATTAAATAAAAAAAAAAAAAAAAAATAAAAAAAAAAAAAAAAAAAAAAAAAAAAAAAAAAAAAAAAAATTTAAAAAAAAAAAAAAAAAAAAAAAAAAAAAAAAAAAAAAAAAAAAAAAAAAAAAAAAAAATAAAAAAAAAAAAAAAAAATAAAAAAAAAAAAAAAAAAAAAAAAAAAAAAAAAAAAAAAAAAAAAAAAAAAAAAAAAAAAAAAAAAAAAAAAAAAAAAAAAAAAAAAAAAAAAAAAAAAAAAAAAAAAAAAAAAAAAAAAAAAAAAAAAAAAAAAAAAAAAAAAAAAAAAAAAAAAAGAAAAAAAAAAAAAAAAATAAAAAAATAAAAAAAAAAAAAAAAAAGGAAAAAAAAGGAAGGGAGGGGGGGGGGGGGGGGGGGGGGGGGGGGGGGGGGGGGAAAAAGAGGAGAAAAAGGGGAGGGGAAAAAGGGGTGGGAAAAAAAAAAAAAAAAAAAAAAAAAAAGGGGGAAGTGGAGGGGGAGGGGAAAGATTTCAAAGTAAAATCAAAATCGATGATTTTTTTATTTGATTTAGACGTCCTTATCGATTACACAAGCCGTTTTTTTTGCAAATTTTATCTGTTTATGGTAACCGAATCCCTTAGAATTGCACAATATGGCAAAAAATAATTACCGTAAAAGCTGTAATAGGACCTCCCCTATAGAAACGTTGCGTCTAAGTTTACACTCAAAGAACCGCTCATATCTCGGCGTCTAGTCATTCGTTTCAGCGCGTTTAGGTATCAAATTAAAGTAGAGAAAATGGGTAATTTTTTGATATACAACACATATTTTTTTGCATTAACCAGCGTTTCGAAAAAAATGATTGAAAAGTGGCAAAAAAGCCGATTTTTCATCATTTTTTTCTAAACGCTGGTTAATGCAAAAAATATGTGTTATATCTCAAAAAATCACCCATTTTCTCTACTTTAATTTGATATCTAAGCCCACTGAAAAAAGATGGCTGGGCGCCGAGATATGAGCGGCTCTTTGAGTGTAAACTTAGACGCAACGCTTCTATAGGGGAGCTACTATTACAGCTTTTACGGTAACTAATAATTACCTATTCAACTTCATCGTAAAAACTTCAAAAAGTCGATTGCACTTGCCGTTTTTATGTAAATATTATCAAACATTAACAAAAAAAGTGATAAAATTAAACGTTTTTACGTTAAGTTGATTATTAGTTGATTATTTTTTGCTATGAACCGAGCAATTCTAAAGGATTAGGGTACCGTAAACGTATATAATTTACATAAAAACGTCAGTGTAATTGATAGGTATCGATTTAGAAAACTATAATAGATTTTTACCCCCATCGCACCGCCAGTGCCAGTCATCCAATCCTTTTTGTAGAAGTGTTTCATTAGATCGACAAAATCTTGCTTTGTGAACTCATCCTAAACAAGAAATATAAATTTTCTTAAAAAGTAGATAATAATTGATATCGTTTTTAACAATAGATCAATTTACTGTGTATTTACAACCAGTATACAACCAGTATATTACTGTAGTTTCTTTAATAGTAGTGCACCCCGGGGAGCCGAGTTGGTGACGATTTTACGGTTTCCAATTTTTCCCAGAAGCTCAACACTCAAATCCCCCACTAGATCTCATCGTCAGCTACATTTTCCGACCCCACATCGATATGTTTTAATAAGCGGTTGTCGAGATTTAGCAAATTTAGAAACTAGAAAAACTAGAGATTTAGAAACTAGCAAATAGCCTTTGAAGAAACTCTGCAAGTACCGTGTTTTCCATGCACGAGCCGAGTTGTTTACTATTTTACGGTTTCTAAGTTTTCGCAGAAGCTCAACACTCAAATCCCCACAAGATCTCATCGTCAGCTACATTTTCCGACCCCACATCGATAGGTTCTGATAAGCGGTTCTCGAGATTTCAAGGAATTTAGGCGACGCTCAGGCTGCACTACTATTAGAGAAAATACGGTATATATTATATATTAAGTTGGAAAGAAAGTTTCTCGGAAAAAGTTTGACACGGATTTCTTAACAACGAATCCATCAACTCAAGAACATTTTTGTTCTATTATTTACAAGTCGACTCCAAGAAATTACTCGTAAAAAATGAGTGCAGCTTTTCCTTAAAATTTTCGAGATTTTTGAAGAATTATGATTATCCAGCTTAAGTTTAGCTAAATTTTTGCACCAGAAAAACGATTTCTTATGGGCTAAATCTAACTTATGAGCAATACGCTTTATAATATCTATTTTTAGCCAAAAAAATTTTAACAGAGAAGCTTCCAATGTGTATTCTTGTAAAATTTAAACAAATCGATTACTCATCCACATGCTTCCACACGTCTTGCTCACATAGATAGCTTGAAACAGCAGCCAAATCACCGTGCAAACTTTTTCTACAAACTTTCTTGCCAACCTAATAGTTAGTGTGTAGTTAGCATGACAAAAGCTGACAAAAGCTGACAAAAGCTGACAGAAGCTGACAAAAGCTGACAAAAGCTGACAGAAGCTGACAGAAGCTGACAAAAGCTGACAAAAGCTGACAAAAGCTGACAGAAGCTGTGAGCAGGCACGAGCTTAGCAGTACGTTGCACTTTTAAAGGCATTGACTTCAAACAGAAATCGATTTGAAATTTCAAATGTGCTAAGAATTAAGCAAGATACATACCAACTTTTGCATAACTTATTGCCTATAAACTTGCTTTAGAATGTTTTTTTTTTTGCTTTTGCGTTTTACTTTAGATTACCTGTTGAACTTCCGCGTAGGCAGGTGGCTTCTCGCCCAGATCCATTACCTGAATTCAAAATACGAAGTTTTCGAGGCGGAAGCCACAATATGACTCACTATTATTAGAAAATCATTAAACATTAGAAATGAATCATTAGAAAAACTACAAGATCAGACTACAAACGATTAGAAACGCGTAGAATGGTTTAAACTCTTTTTACGAAAAAATCAAACCAACTGCTTTTGAATGAAACAAAGATCAGATTAATTCATCATCGATAACGTTCTATGTTTGTTTGTAGTATGTAGTCTCGTTCCGGATAGGACTATAAACCTGAAAAACGTTAGCTTTTAGCGCAGAGATCATGGATTGGCTTGATCTTTGTGCCATTCGAAAGCTCAAAGTTAGCTCGATTTTTTTTGCCAAAAATAGTTTGTAAAAATAGCCATTCTACGCGTTTCTACAAGCGTTTGTAGTTTGTAGCACCCATATCGATTAGGTATTGAGACAAAATTTACAAATTTCTGCTTAACTTAACAATGTTGTAGTCTGTAGATAATTGTAATAATTGAATGAAACGTAAAAGATAGCAGAGAGCAGATATCGATCTTTGCTGGCCATTGGCATTGCTCTTTGCTGGCCAATAATTACCCGAGCGATGATATGATAATGATATGATGATATGATCTATTGTAAATTTTCTATTAAGAATTTAGAAATTATTTTTGATTCAATGATAATAAGCTACTAGATTTTTGGCTTTTGAACAATGCAGTTATATTTTCTCAATTTCTATTTCTTGATAGTAACTAATGTTCCCTCTTAACCTCAGTTTTAGTACTGTAAGCTGTTTTGGCTATTTTAATTCACTTCTAAAGTATTTATCTTGATCTTGAATGAGAGTAAAGTATAGATTGTAAACTAAATTTAGCTTTTACTTTCAATAGATCTTTAGCATTGTAGAATTCTGTACTTTTTCTAAACTGAACTGAAAATTCTGCAAAATTTTTGTTAATTCCAATGCTTACGCTTATAAATTCGATTCTAAAGGCTTTTCTGTTCTGGGAAAACTTTTCTGGCAAAGCTTTCTGGCAAAACTTTCTGGCAAAGCTTTGCTTTCAAAACTTTCTGGCAAAGCTTTCTGGCAAAACTTTCAGGCAAAGCTTTCTTGCAAAACTTTTTGGCAAAACTTTCAGGCAAAGCTTTCTGGCAAAAGTTTCTGGCAAAGCTTTGCTTTCAAAACTTTCCGGCAAAGCTTTCAATTCAAAACTTTCTGGCAAAGCTTTCTCGCAAAGCTTTCTGGCAAAGCTTTGCATTCAAAACTTTCTGGCAAAGCTTTCTGGCGAAACTTTCTGGCAAAGCTTTCTCGCAAAACTTTCTGGCAAAGCTTTGCATTCAAAACTTTTTGGCAAAGCTTTCTGGCAAAGCTTTGCTTTCAAAACTTTTGCAACACTTTCAAAATAGTAAAAATAATAGCTTTGTTCTTAGAATGAAAGTCGATTTCCTTTTGTTTATCATATTAAATCCAATATTTTCTATTTTTCTATGGTTATGTGCTTTCTATTTCTAATTATTTAGCATTATTTTTTTCAAAAATCTAACAAATTCAAAACTTTAGCTATTTGAAACCTTTAGACTTTAAATCGTGCGCTATCCTTTAACATTAAGCTAACTTATTAACTCCAATATCCAACAAAAGTTATAAGCTTTACCATAAACATGTGCTAATCGATTATTGTTAGTGAAAAGTTTAGCATATTTACTTTTACTTTAGATTCTAATGTTATTAAAGATCAGTTGATTGTTTTTTAAAGCATTTTTTAAAATCTCTATATAAGTTTTTGTTGATTGAGAAATTTTACAGTTAAAAACATTAGAAATTAGTGAATTTCATGAATTTACGCTTAACTAGACTAATTTCATATAAATTTCATATAAATTTCGTAAATCTTTCAAGCAAAAAGAACTTAATTAATAGAAAATTAAGAAAATAGAAAAATTACGATAGGTAAATGGGATCAAAGATGAGAAAAAGGGGATGGAAGGGGGACGCGAAGTCTTTCGTTCGTCCGCCTTTTCACCGTCCAAAGGAAAAGAGGTCCCGCAGAGCCTATTTTTCGCTCACCAAATCTCCAAACGTTTGATTAAAAGTAGATTCTTATATAGTTAATCCTTTTGTCTTTTCTTATTAAATTCAGTTTTTTTTCTATCAATTTCAAAAAATATTTACCTTTGGTGCATCTTTGCGATTCTTTGATCGACTGCGCGAACGGGTACGAGAAGGGATCGGGCCATCCTCACCAGTGGTACACTTCAAAGGAGCGACCTCTAAAAGAAAAATAATAACGCGGAACAAGAGCAAAAGTAAAAGCAAATTTTCATGACGTAAGAAAAGATCGAATAAAGTTAATTAATAGACAAAAACCCCACGCAAAAACCCCACGCAAAAACCCCACGCAAAAACCCCACGCAAAAACCCCACGCAAAAACCCCACGCAAAAACCCCAGCCTATTTTCCGCTCACCAAATCTCCAAACGTTTGATTAAAAGTATATTCTTATATAGTTAATCCTTTTTCTTTTCCTTATTAAATTCAGTTTTTCTTTTCTATCAATTTCAAAAACTTTTCCTCTTTCAGATGTCAATGTTTCGAAAAAGAGATGTCATTCCGAATGTTCACCGAGGGAAAAGTGAGTGTTATGCTATGCAAGATGATATGCGAGCTTAAAAAGATAAAATTATTGTTTAAAAATTTAGCTAACTTACAAAGGAGGTTCGTCAATTTAAAACCAGTTCTTAAAACGTGGTTTAGCACATCTAGATCGGTTTTTGATTTGACAGCACTGTTAACTAACTTTTTGCAGGTTGGCTAGCTCTATACACATTCAAAATGGTAAAACGTAAAACAAAAAAAACATCCAAAATCCATTAGGTGGGGTTTTCCTGGCTTAAACCTACAATTCTAATTTCGAAATCGATTTGTATCAACTTTAAACGTAAAGAAGCACAATAACTGGCACCTGGAAAAGCGCCTAAACTTGAGTCTAAATAAAAAGGTTCAAAGTCTAGAGCTACAGCTAACAAGGGAGGTTCGTCAATTTAACACCAGTTCTTAAAACGTGGTTTAGCACATCTAGATCAGTTTTTTTTGCGCTGCTTCTGAATCCGTACTCAAATCTACCCTGGACGCCCTCTGAGATCAAGGAAAATCGTTTTAAAGTTAGCTAAAAAATGGTAGTTGCGCAAATAAGACACCGTCTTTAATAAGGAAAGTTAAGGAAGGAAAAATAGTGACCGAATATTGTAGTGGTAGTTCGCTACACTTACATTCTTGCATCCCTGTTTCGGATGCAGCTTTTCTTTTCGTTTTTAACACTTTTTTCTTTTACCATTTTGAATATGTATGAGCCAACCTGCTAAAAGTTAGTTATTAGAGCTGTCAGATCAAAAACTACATTTTCCAACCCCACATCAATAAATTCTGATAAGCGGTTCTCGAACTAACACCGAATGGTACCGACATTCGGTCACTACTTTTCCTTCCTTAACTTTCCTCTTAAAAGCGTTGTCTTATTTGCGCGAATACCATTTTTTTGCTAACTTTAAAACGATTTTTCTTGGCCTCAGAGGGCGTCCGGGGATACAACTTTGAAATCAGCGCGAAAAACCGATCTAGATTTGCTAAAGCACGTTTTAAAAGCTGATGTTAAATTGACGAACCTCCCTTGTTAGCTCTAGCTCTAGACTTTGAGCTTTTTATTTTAACTTAAGTTTAAGCGCTTTTTCAGGTGTCAGTTATTGTGCTTAGTTACGTTTAAAGTTGATACAAATCGATTTAGAAATTAGAATTATAGGTTTAAGCCAGGAAAAGCCCACCTAACGGGTTTTGGATGTTTTTGCGCGAGTTTCTTGTCACCATGGTGCAGTCGGAAGCGCGCTTGTCTACGGCCCACATGATCCAACCCACGACCTGGGCTCAATTCCCCGTAGTGCCGCGCAATTGTGACTTTCTTAATTTTAAAAATTTTAAATGACAAAACTATATTATATTCGACTCCCCTTTTATTAAGCAATATGAAAATTTTTACATTTGGTGAAGCAGTTGGCGCAGTGGTCCTGGAGCCTGAGCCTAAGCGCTGAAAAAATTCTGCCCAATTCGTCAACTCTATAACTCAGCTGGTTTTTAAATTTTTCAAAATCTGATTTCAGAGGCGTGATCAGCTCATTTTCTTTACTCTAATCCTTCAGCTAAAACAGATCATTTTTCAAGTTTATTTCAATAAACTAACTGAAGGATCTTTCCATTTATTTTATCTTAGATTTAAGATATCTTTTAAGATTTAAACATAAACTGATGTTTAAATGATTAAAATATCTTTTAAGATTAAGATATAAACTTATAAATAGCATTAGCCTATTTTTCTAGATGGCACAATGACGCTGGGTGTGCGTACGCTGAGATCTCTCTGCATTGACGTCATCCTCGTCTCTTCGAAAGGCAAAAAGTTTCTTGCCGGTGAGCAAAAGCAATATTTTTTTCAAGATTTATTGAACCTATTGCTGAATTTCACATTTCATTCATTTCCTAGGTCTTCAATTCATGTACGAGTCGGGAATGGTGCCTGACAAGCTCTCGGTGATGATGGTGAACGATCAAAAGTATCATCTCCAATTCTGGATTCCGAGAGTTGATATGCATCCATTTACGGTAAGAATTCTTCATAAATAGATAAAATTGAGGCTAAGCTATTAATTTCAGCCAGCTTTTTACTTCATTAACAAATTTAAACCCAAAAATCTTAGCACTCAGTTGCTCGATTGGAATCGTTTTTGATATCATTAGGTTCGTCATATTTTCTTCTGTTGATTTATATAAAAATGATTTCAATTGAGGCAATGAGAGAGAAATAATAAATAAGAAAAACTCTTGGGACAAAACTAAAGAATTAAAGAACTGTAAAACATAAGAAAAACTCTTGGGACAAAACTAAAGAACTGTAAAACACAAGAAGAGCTGTTGGGACAAAACTAAAAAACTAAAGAACTGTAAAACATAAACTAATCAAACTCTGTAGGGGAAATTTTCAAATCGAACAATAGTCTAAACGAACAATGAAGTCTAAACGATATCAACAAATCAACAAATCAATCTTTCAGGTAATCTTCAAAAGCCTTAACACTCTCCTCAATGGAATTGGGCATTTGAATGTGTGGGAGATTGGTGTACTGGAGATCATGAATTGCTCATTTCAAAGCGATCACAACACGATTCTTTCCGAAGCTATTAAGGTCGCTCAATTCTCTCAAAATGATTACAAAGTTTTGCGGCTAGAAGTCAAGATTGAAAATTAAGTAAATCAAGAAGATTATTACCTAAAAATCAAACAAAAACCAATCTATTAATAAAGTTTATGTTTAAAAAAGACCAACTGGACTTTCTACATTGATTTCATCGTTAAAAAGAGCTTTTTTTGTTTAGTATCAGTTTAGTTCACTATTTGTTTAGTAAAAATCTTGTTTAAAACCTAATCAAATAGCGCTTCGATGAACTAACGATAGTGAATTTGAGAATTTTAAAGTAAATCTTTCCTTCTTAGTAAGATTGATAAGAATGATCAAAGAAATTTCAATTCGAATTTCAGAGATTATTTGACATTTAATCTCAGCCAGCTTTTTACTTCATTAATTAACAAAAATCTTAGGATTCAGTTGCTCGGTTGGAATCGTTTTTGATATCATTAGATTCGTCATATTTTCTTCTGTTGATTTATATAAAAATGATTTCAATTGAGGCAATGAGAGAGAAATAATAAGTAAGAAAAACTCCTGGGACAAAACTAAAGAATTAAAGAACTGTAAAACACAAGAAGAACTCTTGGGCCAAAACTAAAGAACTAAAGAACTGTAAAATAAGGTTTTCAGAAGTTAAAACCAAAAACATTGATGTTGATGAATTGCGGGTTTTCTCATTTGACGATGAGCGAGAGACGGGATTTCTCGGATGCTGCATCGAATCGCGGAGATACTGATGTCAGTTTTTAACAATTACAATAGCAATCTTCAATAATTACAATAGCAATCTTAAGATTGATAGCTTCATTTTCAGGTGATTTTAATTGGACACACGTTCTCGAAGAAGCATTTCTCGTCGACTAGAAAATGGGCTAATGTTGCGCTTGAGCCAATGGTTAGTTAGGAATTTAACCACTTCAAAATAGCTTTAATTTTTTGCCAAAGTTAAAACAAAGTACAAGATGATTAAGAGAAAACGTTAAATTCTAAGAAAAAGCTTATAATAATCATCGAATTCTTTAGTCAGACGAAATCGTCGACGAGAGTCTCATCCCGCCAATCAATGGAACTGAATTGGCGCCATTTCCGAGAAAGTAAGTTACTTTATTGTTAATTTACCATAAGAAACTCTTACAAAGGTATTCTATAAACTAATTTTTAATCCAATTTAGATTTGACGCTGCTTTGTTGACGGAATTAGACCCAGAAGAGATCTCTGCAACAACATCAACTTTTACCAAAACGAGAAGGGATCGGAAACGAATCAGAGTCGAGAATCAAGTGCGTTTTAGTGATTTTAAGAATTTAGCTTTCATTTATAAAAACTTTTAGAAAGAAGATATCAAACTATCCGCTCCAGTCACTCGTCGAATGCGTTTATCGAGTCCAAACCAATCTCATTCCGTTACTGCAACCCCGGAACCTGAAATAAACATTGCATCAACTTCAAACAGGAAATCAAAATCAAGAAATCATCGACTTTTTCTAGTGCCGGAGGTTTGATTGCTTTAATGGCTTTGATAATTAAATGGTTATATGTTGCTGAGAAGATAAAAGTCAAAATTTTGTTATCATGAATAAAGACAATGAAAAAGAAATCAATTGAATTGAAATTGAATTGAAATTGAGTTCAAATTGAATTCAAATTCAAGCAATTAATCAATTAATCAATTGGTAACTAAATAAAATCAATTTCAGAATGAAAGCGATCAATCTGAAGATGAAATGCCAAATAGTTGTGCTCGGACGACACGTTATATTCGAAAACCAACTGGAAAGAAGCTCTTGCTCAATGGTCCACAATGTTTCAAGTAATAGTTTTATAATATTTTAGGAGAAATTTGATTCTAAGTGCTTTTGGCTTAATTACGCTTGGCCAGTGAAGTCGCGAGCACTGGTGCTAGTGCCTAGCAGACAATGACTTCTCTAAGCCACTCCAGAGCTGAAATAAGTCTAGATTAATCTTCAAATCATCTTTCATCATTTCTAAAGCTTAAAACAACAATAATCAAGAAATTTTGATAAGAATATGAAGAAATTTTGAGAAATACACCTGCCAAATATAATAATAAGAAATAAAATTAAATATCTTCACTAAACGTGGAACAATTCGTCTTTGGAAAAATTTAAGGAAACACATATCAAGTTCTAGATGATGAAGTTGGATCTGTTTTATCCAAGTTGGTGTTTTGAATGGAGTACTGGGGCTAAAGACAGGGCTCCAACTTGGCTCTAGAGTTGAACAGTTGGCTCTAGAGTTGAACAAGACAGGCTCTAGAGTTGAACAAGACAGGCTCTGGAGTTGACCAAGACAGGCTCTAGAGTTGAACAAGACAGGCTCTGGAGTTGACCAAGACAGGCTCTAGAGTTGAACAGTCAAGCCAGAAAGGACGAGGGCATTTAAAATCAAATCTGCAGAAAAAACAACTTTTAAACAACTCTATTTTCAGATCTGTTCCTGCAGTTGATCAACCGATGACTCGATCTCGCTCGAAAGCGATTCACATTCGAATGAAGAAATACCCGGTGCCAACAATGTCTGATAGTGACTCCGAGATGATCACTCAGTTTTGACAATTCAACAAAACTTTACTAAAAACCCCTAATGTATACATTGTTACTAAAGTTTGCCCAAAAGTTTGAACAATTTCAAAGGTTTTTTTCGTTATAAGTCTTGAGTTATTGATTAAAACAAGTAAAAAAGCCAATTTTTTTAGGCTTTAGTCTATCACTTTCTGATTCCCTTTAAGTGCATTGGAAAGCGTGCGTTTACTAGAGCAAAAGACGATTGAATATAAGACGATATAATGTGCTCTTGGAAACACACGCTTTCTGGTACACTTGATCTCCAAAAGCGTACGTTTCCCACAAAGTACATCAGATTTGAAGCTCTTGTAGCCAACGAAAATCTCTTATCAATTGTTATAGGTTCCAAATGTTGTGATCAAATGAATAAGGATTTTTTTAAAAGTTTTCTTTCAAATCTTTTTATTCATTTTGTCATTCTTAAAAATGTTTTTGTGTAATTTTTCAATTTCAATTAAAATTAATAAATTTACATGACTTTAAGCCTTTCAATATCCATTTATTTTTATTATTTTTATAGAATTCCCTCAAGAATTCTTTCTATTACCGATTTGGGTTCATTTTTGAAACTTAACTTGTATTATTTTGTTTTGGTGATCGACTTTTATCCCCCTTTATCTTTTCTGATTTCTGATTTCTCCAATGTACCCCTGGAAAGTGGATGAATAAAAATTTACTTACACTTGGGTGTAACAGTTTGTTAAAACCTTTGTGATCACTTGAAGAAAAACTCAATTTTTATTCGCAAATAATCAATAAAAACTCGATCCACTTGATCGAAACATTTTTGCCAACAGTTCCTTTCCCTGCCAACAACAGCCAACAGTTCCTTTGCCTGCCAACAACAGCCAACAGTTCCTTTCCCTGCCAACAACAGCCAACAGTTTCTTTACCTGCCAACAACAGCCAACAGTTCCTTTCCCTGCCAACAACAGCCAACAGTTCCTTTCCCTGCCAACAACAGCCAACAGTTCCTTTGCCTGCCAACAAAAGCTAACAGTTCCTTTGCCTGCCAACAACAACCAACAGTTCCTTTCCCTGCCAACAACAGCCAACAGTCCCTTTCCCTGCCAAAAACAGCCAACACTTCCTTTCCCTGCCAACAACAACCAACAGTTCCTTTCCCTGCCAAAAACAGCCAACACTTCCTTTCCCTGCCAACAACAACCAACAGTTCCTTTCCCTGCCAAAAACAGCCAACACTTCCTTTCCCTGCCAACAACAACCAACAGTTCCTTTACCTTCCACCTCACATAACACTTCAGCACCAAAGCTTCCAGATTTTTTTCCAATAATGAAACAAAACACGAACTTTATTTTTATTCATCTGAAGATGTGGAATGTGTAAAGTATATAACAAAATGCTCGAAAGAAAACAGGATTTCAAATGAGCCAAGAACCATAAAAATCCATTGTCAAAATAATTTGAACTTTTTTTGCAAGTGACCGCAAACTTTTTTAACAAACTAGTATAATAAATTAAGCTAAATAACCTTCTTAAATCAATATGTTATTTATTGAGTAAGACAATCAGTTACAGTTACTTTCAATAAAAAGATGCAATAAAATCTTTCTAGTAGTTGGAAACAGGGCAGATCTTGCCCGTCGAGACTCGAACCCGCGGCCATCAGCTTCCCGGACAACTTTGCCAACCATTGCACCAGAACATGCTCGACCTCTCTGACTCCAAAGGGAGTTAACTTCCCTCCTCTCTGGACGAGACTGTCCCACACGTCTCGGTGTATAGAAACTAGGTAGAAGACCCATCCTTCCGTGGTCGCCAGTTAGAACTAGGCAGATCAAAAACCTGATCTAAAAGGAACCCGCGACCTTTCGCTCACCCGACAAATGTGCTAACCATCACACCAGAACGCAGTTGATCTCCCTCACTTCAGTGGAGTTAACTTCCCTCCTCTTTGGACGAGACTGTTCCACACATCTCGGTTTATAGGCCTGGGGTGCGCTCGAAACTAGGTATACCTTAGCCAGCATTGCAGAGCCCATCCTTCCGTGGTCGCCAGTTGGAATTAGGCAGATCAAAAACCTGTGCACCGTCGGGACTCGAACCCGCGACCTTCCGCTCGCCGGCAACCGTGCTAACCACAGCGCGTCTGATCTCCCTTACTCCAGAGGGAGTTAACTCAGTGAACTATTACTAGTTACTGACCTGATCCATTGTATTGATAGATTGGAGAAAATTACTGAAGATTACTGATTATTGAGTTCTCAGCCTTTCTTATCCATGTCCGTCCACCTTTCTATCATCATTTCATTAAGCAATACTTCAATGAAATTCAACAGCTCAATCTCTTTGAATGGGATACTGTTTAATCCTTTTTTTGACATAAATTGTATTCTTATAAATAAAACCAGCCATTTTTTATGAATATTCACAAAATTCTCTTTTTAGGAAAAGATTGAGCAATTTTTGAAATTAAAAAGTGAAACTTTTTGAGCATTTTCCCTTCTTTGAACATTTTTGATAGCTCTTTTTGTTTAATGATTCGTATTTTTAACTTTTACACAAACAATATTTATTACAAAACAGTATATTTACAAAAATTTGTACAAAATTTATACAGTTTAAAGAAGTTTTTGGATTTTTTAAAGTCCAAACGGATATGTTTCGGGTTCTCCCTCGTGTAAATGCTCCTTTCTCAATGGAGTGACAGCTTTCGTCTCATCAAACCAAACGTACGCATCGAATTGCGATGGTAAAACACATTCTGTGTAATGACTCCAACGCTCTGTATTTGGACGATAGATTACTCCTAAAAGTTTCACTGTTATCGATAGCTTTTTGTCTTTAAAAAACATTTATCGATCTAGTTTTACTTTAAAATTAGTTTAACTAGTTTAACTAACTAGTTTAACGAGTTTAACTAGTTTAACAAGTTTAACTAGTTTAACTAGTTTAACTCGTTTAACTAGTTTAACTAGTTTAACAAGTTTAACTAGTTTAAACGACTATGGTTTATTGAATTAGGATTAATAGAGAAATGTTTGGTAGTCAAGGTAGGAAATGAATCATGAGGATTGGTATGATATGCTGGATTTCTACAATCAACATTTACGAATCATTGTTTGCTAAAGTGTCTCCTTTTCTGTCTTCGTACTGTAGCAATTTCAGCTACTGTATTCTCTCTAATAGTAGTGCACCGCCTAGAGTTGATGACTATTTTACGGTTTCTAAGTTTTCGCAGAAGCTCAACACTCAAAGGGATTTGAGTTTCTCATTGTCAGCTACATTTTCCGCCCTCACATCGATAGGTTCTGATAAGCGGTTCTCGAGATTTCAGGCAATTTACGCGAAGCTCAACACTCTAATCCCCCACAAGGTCTCATCTTTCGTCTTGATAAGTTTATTAGTTTATTAATAAGTTCATTATAACATCTGAGCATTAGAAAATTCCGTTAACAAAATTGAAAAGAATACCCTAATGATACTGACAGACTAATACTGACAATGAACAAGCTTTTTTCTATACAAGATTTCCCAAATCGGGACTAGATCTATAGTTTGACCTGGCTAGGTTTAACCATCAACCTTTTGACCTAGTAGAAATGTTACAAAAGACTGCCCTTTCTTGTATCTGATTACCGTAGTTCTCCACCGAGCCGAGTTGATGACTATTTTACGGTTTCCAAGCTTTTGCAGAAGCTCAACACTCTAATCCCCCACAAGATCTCCTCGTCAGCTACATTTTCCAACCCCACATCAATAGGTTCTGATAAGCGGTTCTCAAGATTTCGAGCAATTTAGAAACTAGAAATTATTACTAGAAACTAGAAAAACTAGAGATTTAGAAACTAGCAAATAGCCTTTGAAGAAACTCTGTAAGTACCGTGTTTTCCATGCATGAGCCGAGTTGATCACTATTTTACGGTTTCTAAGTTTTCGCAGAAGCTCAACACTCTAATCCCCACAAGATCCCATCGTCAGCTACATTTTCCGAACCCACATCGATAGGTTCTGATAAGCGCTTTTCGAGATTTCGAGAAATTTAGGCAACGCTCATGGTTCACTACTATTAGAGAAAATACGGTATATAAGGTGACCCTTTTCTTCATTTTCCACAAGTGAATTATTGTTTATAACAATAATCGTTCTTTTAATCACATTCAAGACACAAGTTATCAAGCACAAGTTTAAATACAAGTACAAATCGCCAGGAAACCCCTTGTTATTGCCTTTTAAACACCAACTATAGAGTCAATGCACATGAAATGTCAGTATTATTTTAAGAGGTGATTTTTAACCCAATTGGTTAAAAACCCAATTTTTTAACCCAGACGAGAAAGCTTTTGTTTTCAAACTTTTTCAAATGATTGAACTTAAGCAGTGAAAAATGGGCTGATGAAGAATTAATCATTTGACTGGATTGAAGTATAACTGCATCGAATTCCACAGTTTCCTCTCCTTTCTCAAAATCAAAGCTCATCGAAGAACAAGCTAACAATGGACATCATTCCAAAGCAAGCCGTATTGCGAGCGATTACAGAAATATCCTCTTTCGTGTGCCCGGGCGTATTCCATAGTTCGTATTCCATATTTTGGCGTTAAATTATAGCCATTTTTCTGGATGTTACTGATGCTTACATGTTTGTGGAATAAGCTGCTCATTTAAAGATTTCCATCCAACCCACTTTCATGTTCAAATAGAAAACGTAGAGAATGTTTAATTACGTTTACATTAAAATTTTCAAATCAATCTCTTCAGTCGTTTCCTCTGAATGAGGTTTTCTCGGTTTTTAACAAAATATGCCTTCTATAGCATTTGCATTGACCCTATAGAATATATCTGGATTGATGTGAAGCTGAAAAAAAAGATTCTCAATTAACTTTTAAGATAATAATTAAACTTTTACTCACCAATAAATCGTTCCAGCAATGGTTTCATTAATTGTTTCCGTAGATGCTCATTTTTATGTAAATCCAACAAGAATCGTCTTTTATCCGCATCATGACAAAGTCTCTCGTAACTATCCGGTCTTGACGGGATCACACGCATCGTCTGTGCTGGTGAATCCCATTTACTAGCGGCCGTCACCGTTCCAGTGTGAGTACCTAGAACGAGTTCAGTTCAGCAGAAAAACTTGTACACTTTTATAGCTCAACTATAAGCTCCAGTAAGCTTTATATTAGGTTTTTCGGATATAGACGAGCGTTTGCACTGCTTAACTCGTGAGGAAGCCATTTCCCGCATTTGATAGCCTTTCCAATGGCATGGAGATGCTCATCAATAGTAGAAGTTGAACATAGAAACTGTTGAGCAAGTTCACGCATCGTTTTACATGGATTCGATTCGATTGCAGCCCTCAAAATATCGTTGTCTACAGCTTGAGGTCGACGAGAGTGTTCATGATCCCCGAGACTTTCATCACCATTGGCGTTGGAGCCAGGCTCGGCATCGGCTTTTCTGGGTTGCTAGATTCAAAGTATTAGGTTGTTCGGATCTAAACGAGCGTTTGCACTGCTTAACTCGTGAGGAAGCCATTTCCCGCATCTGATCGTTTTTCCAATGGCATGGAGATGTTTCTCGAGTAGAATTTGAACATAGAAACTGTTGAGCAAGTTCACGCGTCGTTTGACATGGATCCGATTCGATTGCAGCCCTCAAAGTATCGTTGTCTACCGCTTGAGGTCGACGAGAGTGTTCATCATCCTCGAGACTTTCATTAATATTCCGAAAACGTTAGAACCAGGCTCGGCATTGGCTTTCGGGCAATACATCATTCCCAAATGCTTTGTCCAAATCTCGATGGGATTCCGCGACTGTTTTGCCCAGTTTGAAGTCGTAAAGTAGGCAGAACTTTATATATTTGAAGTCGGTCATCTAAAGCAAGAAAAAAGATCTTGAAAATAAGAAATTATCTGTTTAAAAAGATTCAAAATATGCACAAGATAACGTACTTTTAAATACAGAAAGACATGTTTTAAAAGAAGCTTTAAAGCTTTCTTTAAAAGCTTGTTTTAAAAGCCGTGAGAGAAGCTTAAAAGCTTCTCTCACAACAATAAGTTTAGCAACGCTTGTTTAGATCCGAACAACCTAATAGAAATAGACCTATTAGCAGTTTTATTTTCTTTAATTCTTACCAAATCCAATTAATGCCGCCTCATCTCCATATGCTTGTCGACAAAGTTGTCCAATGTTTAGTTCACCTCTTTCACTTCCCATCTCAGTGGCCCTTGCATCTCCAATATGTGAATTGTGAGCCCAAACTATCGCTTTTCCATTAGGCACATTTTTCATCAACGATTGCAATGTTTCGAACATGTGAGTGTCACGGAGATTCCATGATTCTGCATCTCCATAGTACATCACACTAAATTAAAGATAGAGAAATTTGGGGTACGATTTTAATATTATTGAAATGACAAATACATTTCATTTGGCACACCACTTTACTCGTTTTTCTACCAAAGATGGAAAATTGAACGTGTGCTCCGATTTTTGACCTCCAAAAACAACTCGAACATCAGATCTTGGGCTTATCAATCATCAAATCTACTTTTTCTTATCAATTTCTTCACTTTTTTATTACAAATGGAGCAAAAAGCAAAAGAATTGGCGCCAAGAGGACGCGAACTCGCGACATATCTTCCGTTCGTTTGAAAGACGCGTGCATTAACCACTTGGCCACTAGATGACAGTGCAAACACATTTGTCTCTAGCTCAAACGACTCGGGTTCGACTCCCGCTCGCGCCAACACTTTTTGTTTTTTAAAAATTTAAAAACAAGTTGCATAACTACATGAAATTCGAAGCGAAACTAAATGTAAATTATTTGAAATTGTCCTCTGGAGGCTGAGGAACAGACAGACAGAAGACAGACAGTTCTGAAGACCCAGATATTTCCTTCTTTCTTTCTTCCTTTCTTCCTATCTTCCCTCTTGTCTTTCCCTCTTTCTCTTGACAAGTTAAGGTAGCTGGATAGCTCAATGGCTAAGGCAATTGCCTGGAAAGCAAATGAGCGTTTAATGCCCTACTTTTTCCTACCCTTTCACTTCTTTATCACTCACCGATAGTATTTCTCAGCCGACTCCACAACTCTTGCATTCATATGAGCATCGAAAAACGAAAGCCCATCATTTTTCGCGTATTCCACTCGATTTTTTAGCAAATCGTTGAGCTGTTCAAGCACTCCCGGCTCACATTTTTTCAACCCGACAAGTGTCGCAGCTCCATATTCAGCTGGTTCTCTCAACCATGGCGATAAACAATTATAACGATCACGAGCCACTCTCGCTGCTTCTGGATCAACTCTTTTCAAATAATTCAACACTTGTCCAATTGATTCCCTCATACTGTACATATCCAAACCATAAAAACCGACTTTTTTCTCAAAATCGAGTTTAGAATTATGTCTGTGAAGCCATTTGATGAAAGCTTGTGCGTCAGTGTTTTTCCACATCCAACTTGGGAAACGTTTAAATGGTTTCTCAGTGTTACCAACAGAACGATGACGAACATAGCGATCAACTGAATGCCCGTCAGGCCAATCTCCCTCAATGGCTACAATATTGAAACCATGCTCTTCGATTAAACGCTTTGAGATGGCGGCTCGTGCTTGATAAAATTCAGAAGTCCCATGGCTGGCCTCACCTAGAAAAGTTTGCTTACTTCGACTTCAAAAAGCTCTTTCTTTTGCACCATTCTTTTGCCGCCATAGCCAACTGGTTAAGAGCCTGTACCTTAATCGAGAGAATCGAGATCAAGAGTTCAATCCCGGTTAGGTTATTGGCATTTTTATGGTAGCCAACTGGTTAAGAGCCTGTATCTTAATCGAGAGGTGAAGAGTTCAATCCCGGTTAGGTTATTACTATTTTTCTTCCTACATTTAGGGCTTATAGGTTGTGCATATGTCTTTTTTTTGTATCAAATTTTTCAAATCATTGTTTCAATGAATCAATTACCAAGTAAAACCACTTTTTTCGAGCCATAACGATCAAAAAGTTTTCCAAAATGATCAGAATTGAGATCAGGTAGTGTTTCGGCAGCTAAAGAGATCAAATGTGATAAGCTTTTTGTAGCTGCTTGTACCTAAAATCTTTGTCATTGATTTCGAGAAACCAAAAATGAATTTTCATATTTCTAGATACTAACAATAGCAAAAATCATTACAATAGATAGCTTCTTGTTCTTTTAATAAAGAATTTTAGCTTCTTATTGTGGTTGTTTGCTTAAAGATCGGGAATGGGACAAATGCGACCTTTTTTTTGCGCACCCGGACATTTGCGCACCTTTTTTTTCCGTAGTTAGCCCATTAACGCACCTTTTTCGTGTTTTAAAAAAGCTCTAAAAGCTAATAATAACCAATTTCTATTCCAAAAGTTGTTTTTCTAGGTAATTTTAGAGCGTAGAATCGAAATTTTGGCATCTCAGAGCTTGTGGAAGCGAACGGACGGAGTTATACAAAGAGAAAAATCAACAATTTTCTGTAATTTGACCTAGCCGTTTTGTCTTTCAAATAACTCCGTCTGTTCGCTTCCACAAGCTCTGATATGCCAAAATTTCGATTCTACGCCCTAAAATTACCTAGAAAAACAACTTTTGGAATAGAAATTGGTTATTATTAGCTTTTAGAGCTTTTTTAAAACACGAAAAAAGGTGCGTTAAAGGGCTAAGTGCGGAAAAAAAGGTGCGCAAATGTCCGGGTGCGCAAAAAAAGGTCGCATTTGTCCCACTCCCTAAAGATCACATTTTTATAACTTAAACGAACTTTTGTGCTATGCTTTGGCTCAGTCACATGACGATTCTCAAGATCATGTTGAAGTTCGTGAAGAATTTCAGAGTTTCGCTCGATTTTCTCCTCGTTTTTTACAAACCATGTATTCTGTGCAGTTTTTCCCTCTTTTAGTACGTTCTAAAAAGGTTTTAGATTTTAAAAACCTCTTGCTGAATGGATAAATTTAAAAGCTACAATTGAAAAAAGTATTCCGATAAGCTTAGAGCTGAAAAAGGCTAACCTTTGACATTCTCAAGACTGAAAATCGATTTAAAAACCGAAACGTGTTTAAGAAGAAGACTTTTTTTAGCTGAAAACTGATAGAATTAGATTTAGAATTGAATTAAGATTAAAAATAGCAAAAGAATTTAGAAATATTCGTTCAAGTAAAGAGAACTGAGTTCTAATGGTAAACAGAAAAGAAATCCTTTTTTTTTTTCACTCAACCGCCCCTTTTTCTGTGTTGTTTATGTCCTTTTCTGAGGACATTTTTACGAAATCTTGCCCTTCTTTTAGCTTTTATTTCTGTGAAAAAAGGAAAACAAGCCTTGCAAAATAGCAAAATAGCAAAATAATATTAGGGACATGCATAAGAAATTCGAATTTCAAAATTTTTAATAAATTTCCAACGATAGAAACGATGCATGTTATAAACTGATATCGATGAATGTTATAAATTATTTAAAAGTTGCAAATCTCCTCTATAAAACCAACCATCTGGATAAACTGCTTCGGACGCATCGTCATCCTCTTCCTCGGATTCGCTTGAACTCGATGAAAATACTTCTGGTTGAATTAGTCGATCATCTGATCCGCCAATAGACTCCAAATCACTATCAATAAATAAATTATTGAAAGAATCGTTTAACTCGTCATCCATAACGCTATCTAAAAGAAGAATAACTTAGATTAATATATATGTTGTGTCCGATTTAGATTTCCGTCCGATTTAGATTGAACTTATCGATATAGACGTCCGATATAGACTGTAATCAATAAAAGACCTTTGAAAAACGCAGAAAACTACAGAAAACGCTTAAGAACATATATTAAGCATGTTTATATTATTTTTAAGATATTCAATCTATATAAGATTTAGATTGAATCTAAATCGGACGGAAATCTAAATCGGACACAACATATAGATTAATATATAAATTATCAGAAATAATATAAAATAAAACGTCAGGAAAAAAAAGCCGCGGGAACGGACCGTTGCAGCGAAAAAATGTCAAAAAAGGGCTTGGTCCGCAGACGAAAAAAAAAGAAAAAACGCCGCGGTTTCGAATGGGTTAATAAAACATGTCTATTTTCGTGAAAATGAAGATTTTGATGCATCCAGCGCTTCAAAATCGTTGTCTAGATTAGCTAAAAGCTGGCTTTAAACTAAAATTAGCTTGTTTTACGAACGAATCTTGTAAAACAAATGTATTCATAAATTTTCCTGATCTTGCAAGATGACTTTTGAACTTCCTGTCGGGGTTAAATTCAATTTTCCTTCTCCAAACGAAAGCCCAAATTCTCGTTTGTTCATTAGTTTTGCCTTTTTTTATCTATCCCTCGGGGAGTCGTTTAGATGGTCCAAATAGATCTTTTCTTAGAAAGAAAAAGAAAAAGAACAGAAGCCCCATTTTCAAACAACTTTTAAGCCCTTTAGCCCTTTAGCCTTTTTCTTTTCCCTCACCATTCCACCTCCCGGTAATTGCGCAAATGTTTTCAAGCCATTTATCCGCCCGTTTCTTTTCAATCGAATTACTTTCACTTAACATTCTCTTTCTCATTCACTTTTTCGATTCAAGAGTGAATTATCTTACTACAAAATTCCTTCCCGAGAAAATAAACTTTAACTGAAGCACTTTTTAGCAGAGATCCTAAGATCTTCATTTAAAGTACTTTGTGTTCTAAAAGTTCTTTCCTAGTGCACTCATTAGTTTATCTAACTGATCGATCGAGGAAATTTGATAGAAATATGTTGTGTCCGATTTAGATTTCCGTCCGATTTAGATTGAACTTATCGCGGACGTTCGATTTAGATGACAGTTTAGATCGGACGTCCGATTTAGATTCAATCTAAATCTTATATAGATTGAACAATAATATAAACATGCTTAATATATGTTCTTAAGCGTTTTCTGTAGTTTTCTGCATTTTTCAAAGGTCTTTTATTGATTACAGTCTATATCGGACGTCTATATCGATAAGTTCAATCTAAATCGGACGGAAATCTAAATCGGACACAACATATATATGTCGTAGCCGATTATGAATGAAATTTTTTGGCAAATCAAATCGAGGACAATATTATATCATCTTGTAGCTAATTAAATTTTGCGTCGATTGATACCAAACTTGTGAGTTTAGGTTAAAAATTGCCGGCGCTACAACGTTTCATTCAAAATCGGCTGGATCCCCGTAGCCGATTATGAATTTCAGCCGATTATGAATGAGTGGGTCTAGGAGCGTCCAACCATCAAGTATTTAGTATCATTCAAAGCAGAATCATTAATAATTATGTTAAATTTTTTAAATTAGCAAGATTGGATAAAAAGAAAAAAATTAGAGCAAAAAAACTGTTTGTTCAACTTTGAAGCCCCATTATTTTTTTTCTTTTTATCCAATCTTTCTAATTTAAAAAATTTAACATAATTATTAATGATTCTGCGTTGAATGATACTAAATACTTGATGGTTGGACGCTCCTAGACCCACTCATTCATAATCGGCTACGGGGATCCAGTCGATTTTGAATGAAACGTTGTAGCGCCGGCAATTTTTAACCTAAACTCACAAGTTTGGTACCAATCGACGCAGAATTTAATTCGCTACAAGATGATATAATATTGTCCTCGATTTGATTTGCCAAAAAATTTCATTCATAATCGGCTATTGAAGGATACTAAATACTTGATGGTTGGACGCTCCTAGACCCACTCATTCATAATCGACTGAAATTCATGATCGGCTACGACATATATATATATATATATATGCCAGAACAAGTGTGTTTAAGTAAAACCTGATGCTCAAATTTAGACGCAACCAATTGTGCTTTTTCAAATGCAACGAATTCTTTTTTCATATTTGTATTAGTTGAAATTCTTGTTTAAATGAAATGCATTCTATTTCAACTTTCATTATTTTTCATTTAAAAAAATGAACCGCATAAAAATTGAATTAAAAAGTCAAATTAAAATAATGAAAACTCTTTTCTTGACTTTTTTTTTTGAAACGAAACCATTCATTAAAAGAAAACTAGATTTTTATTAAAATAAATAGATAAATTTTGTACATTTTGGCTTCCCAGATTAGTTGAATTCTTTGAAGAATTGCCACTTTCCATTTTTTAAAACTCAATGTTAGAAGAATTGATTGGAAAGTACCAATCAACTACAGTTGAACTTCGAGCACTATTTCTACTCCAAACCTAGGGTTTTACCTTAAAATAACCTTCAATATATTTTTAGCCAATCCCTTAAGCTTCGTTTTATCGAAATTCGACTATATTTTGTTCATGATTTGTTTAATTTTAGGAGCCTTTGAGCTTTGAAATCGTTACCAATCTCAAAGCTCAAAGCAAAGGTCAACTTCAATGATCTCTCAACACATCGACCATTGCAAGGAGTCATTAAGTCACAAGTTTTCATTATATAGCTTCTTTTTCTCTTTACACCTCATCTAAAAACCCATTTCTAAAACACAATTTCATATCGAAATAATCTCAATCTCAAAGCTTAAAGCTAGGTCAACCATCTATGATCTCAATCTCTCAATGTTGCAACACATCGACCATTGCAAGGAGTCATTAAGCCACAAGCTTCTATTATATAGCTTCTTTTCTCTTTACACGTCATCTAAAAACCCATTTCTAAGACACAATTCCATATCGAAATAATCTCAATCTCAAAACTCAAAGCTAGTTCAATTTCTATGATCTCAATCTCTCAATATTGCAACACATCGGCCACTGCAAGGAGTCATTAAGTCACAAGCTTTTATTTTCTAGCTTCTTTTTCTCTTTACACGTCATCTAAAAACCCATTTCTAAAACGCAATTTCATATCGAAATAATCGTCACCTTAAAAATTCACGAACTTGACTTGAATTTATCATTTTTCCTTTCATTTCATTTTATGAAATTCAGATTTTCGACGTTCTCTTGCTCAATCTTTGCCACTATACGATTTTTAAAATATAAATCTTAAATCAGTTTTAATAAATGAAGAACTTTTAATTTAAATAGTTTCTTCTTCTTTTTCTTCTTCTTAATCATATTTTGTCTTAAGTTTGTCTTCTTTTTTTTCTTCTTTTCGAAACAAAAAGCCATCTATCCATCTGCTTATTCAATCCTAAGTCTAAGCATATTTTTTAATCAATAATGTTAATCATATTCAATGTTTAATTACCCCCTTCCATTCACCAATTCATTCCGCTTGATTTTCATTGAATTTTCAATCTTTTTACCCATTGTTAACGCTTTTTTTTTTGCTTTGTTTATGCTGAATTTACTCTTCTTTGGCTCCCATTTTTCCGGACTAACAAATGGCCACCCAAGAGAAGAAATAGAAAAGAATGAAGGGGAAACCCGGGATTTCATTAGTAATCCCTCTCTTCTTTTCGAAACAAAAAAGCCATCTATCCATCTGCTTATTCAATCCACAATACCTAGAAGAATGCTTTAAAATAACTACTAGTTTTTATAATGCAATTGATCTTAGCTTGTGATCGTTGATTAGAAATTTATCGTAAAATTGATAAATTGCAAGATTGGCTCTAGACTTCTGGAGCTAATATTGAAAAGCTTTTGGTTACCAATCCCATAGAATTAGATCAAGTACCAGCTCTCAATCTGGTGCTGACGATGACCAGGAGCCAAGTCAGATCAACAGAAGCTAGGCCAGACCATTAGGGCTGGCTTCTGGCTCTAACTATTTTTAAAACATCCACTCTTGACTCATTCTGCTTCGTCTTTTTCTCAACTCATTTCACATGACTCAGATGCTCATTTGACCACCGATTTCTCCGCTAAAATCTTCATTTTTTCCGTTTTACCCTTTCCCTCAAACCGAATGAGTGACGTTAAGCCAGTTGAGTGAAAGCGGGATGGCCCGTTCTCCTCCTTTCCCTCCTCTCCCCTTTCCCTATTCATCAGGATTCATGACCCAATTCCGTCTGGTTTACCCACTTTTGTTCTCTTTTTTTCTTCGAGGTCTTCAAACATTAGAACTGGAATTTTTCGAAAAGTTTAGTATTA